GCAGAGTCATATGAGAAGTATATGTCTAATTCTATAAGAATCTACCAAACTGTTTCCAAGTGAGTGTCCCATTTTACATTCTTAACAGCAGAGTACACGAGCTCTAGTTCTCCACATGTTCTTCAACATTTGGAGTTGTCAGTCTTACTTTATTTTAGTCACTCTAGGGAGAAATCATTATTGCATTCTCCTGATGACAAAAGATATTGAGCATATTTTCATATGCTTACTGGTCATTCATTTATTTTCTTTTGGGAACTCCCTGGTCAATGATTTTTCTTATTGGTTTATCTTAATATTATTGTGTGTAGTTATTCCTTATATCATCTATATATATATTTTATATATATATAGAGAGAGAGAGACATACAGACACACACATATATATATATGCTCTTTGATATGCTATATACACTATATATATTATGTGATCAAAATATATGGTGAATGTTTACATTAAAAAAATTATTATTGTAAATGACATGTTTCCATCAATCACCCTCAATATATTCCCCCTCACTTCAAACACTTATCCCATCACACTTTTCACTTTCTGAAGTAGTTCTAGAAGTCTTTTTTCTTGTTTTTACAAGGTATAATGTTTAAAAATAGGTGAATGCTGCTGCCAAGTATAATCCAATCAAAAGGCAGGCTGCTGAAACACTCAGATGTGACCTCATCCACCTTATTCACTCCATCTGGCACTGTGTGACTTCTAGCTCTTTCTCAACGTCAAAGTAACTATAAAGGATAAAGTTTTTTTAATGGATTCAGGACATCAAGGCAGTCATGATAGCACAACTAAAGATATTCACAAAAGAAGATGCTTCATAATTTTAGGTTTTACATATAAATTTATGGTCCACTTTGAGTTCGTTTTTCAGTTTTATGTGATGCAAGTGACTGAATTCACTTTTTCCAGACTGTCCTGGATGAATATCCTGATTCTCCTGGATTAATAACCCTAATTCTGTCATTTACTGTAGACCTTTGGCAACTCAATGTTTCTGGCCCTATTTCTTTAACACTATGTACAGAGTAGGATTGCTAAAAGGATTATGGCAAATTTACATTTAATAGTAGGCACACATTCGGTGCTGGCTGTCACTACAGATATTGTGATTATCACAGAAAAGTAACTGCCTTGGGTAAAAGAGTGGGAAAGACTAAAAGAGTGTGAGTTAAATTGTGTACACATAGAAAGTAAAAAGAGGCACTGATTCCTGAAAACAGCAGGTAGTTGAGGCATTTACTACTAACAGCCCCCAGTGTGCTGCATGATGTATAAGCATAGAAGACACACAAGACCAATCTCTTCATGCGTTCAAATTCCTCTTCAGTCCACTCCTCTATGTTAGAAATGAAATCTTCCAGTGGCTGATAAAAGTAGCTTAACTGAATTTTACAAAGGAATCCAATTTTATGATCTAAGAATCCAAAACGCATCACTGAGTCCTTGTTTGTACACTTCTCCAGAGAGTTACTACTGTGAAAGTAATGCAACTCATAAAGGCTTTGGCACTACCAAGAAAATAGGGGATCTTAAGAACACTTGAATAATGGGATCCAGTCCACAGAGTCCTCCAATAAAATGTCCATTTTTCAAATCCTTAAATGTTTCTCTCAAAATGCAAACAATTCCATATTCTCTGTGTACTAACAGTACAAGCTTTTTCCCAGTGTGGCTCCCATATCTGCCCTAAGATTTTCACAAAGATTCTGGCCAAAGGCTCTGACCTGGGGTGCATGTTTCTCATCCCTCAGAACACCGCTACACTCTTCCATATCCAAATTTCACTCAGAAATCTTCTCTTGGCTATTTTGAAGCTTCCTCACACCTCTTTCAGTGATAGCGCAGCTTCACTTTTCACCAACAAGCTTATCACTTAATCTTCAGTGGCCACCATTTCCTAAACAAAGGTGAGATAGTCTAAGCAGGGAGCCTGTGCTCTACATGTACATGTTCCTCTTTCAACCACAACCAGAAAAAAGAAGAGCTCAAAATTAATACAATTAAACTTTCCCGTCACACTGATCTATACAAAACAATAAAAGGAGACATCACAGATTGCCCCAGGAACATGCAGGGTTGAGTTCACTGATTATTATGAGGGGGAGACACACAATGGAGGAAATGGTGGATGTCTCCATAAAAGGGTGTTGGAAAGAGTTTACTATAGGATTTAGGCTGGTGTTGGATGATTTGGGGGAAGAGTTCAAGGAAGAACAGCTCTCCCTTGTACTCTATGTTGTCAAGAATCGGGGGGCAGTTCTATGTTTGGAATGAATCTTATCTACACAGAGGAATAAATAGAGCCGAAAGCCATAATTGGTAATGAATCAATAGTGATTCACGTTAGCCAGGATAGAGGATAATATGGCATTTTCAAATTTAGAGACTATTCATACTTTTGGTATATATTGAGTCATGGTAACATGACTTGGAACAGTCTTGTTCCATCCCAGCACAGAGTGGCCTGGTCTGGAACTGATGTTCTGTAGAAATACACATGTTCATCAAGGAAACACCAAGTCCAGATGGAGAGTTCTATGCCGGCTCCTACCAATGCCAAGGTTGAGCAGATAGTGCCAAGTCTGTTCCCAGCTGTCATTTTTATCAGTTGTAAGGAAGCATAAACCAAGGAACATAACTTAATCTGGGAGAACATGAATGGCTTCCCTGAGGAACTGACATTTAAACTAAAAGTTTAAAATTTAAAAGGTTTTCTGTTGTCACAGTCCCAGGAGTTCATTTAGCCTTTTCTTCTATTTTCTTCCACTCACAACACTATTAATTTTCTACAAATTAACTATGCTTAGAATGCAAAAGTCAAGGCTGACTTCTCAGGCCATTCTCAACTTTCTCTAAGTGTTAGAATATTCCTTGGCACTGGAGTTTCTCTGGATATTATCTATTGAAAGCACTTGCAAAACAATCTTACCAGGTCAATTGAAATAGGAAAGTAAATGATAGATAATGCAAGTTTAAAAATGGAACTAAAAGGGTTTAAAGACATCACAAGAATGTCAAAGAAGAAATAAAATTATTTAATATTTCTCTCAAAATTCTGTTTGTGATTAAAGAAAGATATTAAAAAACAGAATAGTTGCCTTTCAAAATTAGTGAGATGAGTTGATTGCTACCTTAAGAAAAGGTGAGAAAAGAAAATAATCCCCTTTTCCCCTTGATTTCAAAGCACGATGACATAAATGAAAAATAGAAAATTATCCCACTGCCAAATTAATGAATTCTCCTGGAAAACATGCCTGACAAAATTCTTGAAATCTCATGGAATTCCAGATCTTCCCAAGGCCTTAAGAGCCTGGAGAAAGTCAAGGCCTGGAGTCTAGAAGCTGAACATCACCCCTGCTCTCAGGCTGAACAATAGATGATCTAAACAAATCTGTCGGCCATCACAGAATGGAAGCATCCCTCCAAAACTTGACTCTTTCCTACAGCAAAGCATGCAGTCTATGGAATATTAATTTTCTGCCAAAATTAAACGCAGACGCCTATTAGAGAGAATGTGGAGGACCATATCCTGAGTAACCAAGGACATCTCTTATAACTTACACCTTGGGAATTTGAATTCCCAGTGGTATTTAGATATTTTTTCACTATATCATTTGATTTGGGGAAATACTTATTTCTCTTTAAAAATAGAAATTTCTGTTTACATGATATTGGTTATTAATATTCTAAATGAATTAAATAGCTTTTAAATAGTTTTAATTTGTCATATGGCAAATATTTAGCAGCATATTCCACATAAACATAACTACTTTGGATACTTCACTAATTTCATTTTTGTTGTTTTTCTAAACTGTGTGTTAGAATATGTTCACAATGCACAGTAGTTACCTTTATTTTATCTGAGGCAGGATAGATAGATAGATGATAGATGATTTAGATCATTTTTACTCTGCCCCTCTCCTCTTTGCCTTTACCTCTTCCTCCATCCCCAGATCTGAGGGTAAACTATGCTAATAATAATAAAACATGATAGATGGATTATTTTGTGTTTTCTGGTCACCAAGGGACGGTATTCATTAATATACATCTCAAGCAGACTTTCATTTTTGTATTTTTTAGTTATATGTTTTGATTCAATTTAGACAAATACCTTTTGGAGATTTTGTCAGACATTGTCCTGGATGCCTGCATAGCACCCCCCAGCAACTATTTGGCAGGATAGGCATTAATATCCCGGGTGTTCTGAAGAAGACTTCATAAGGTTACATGTTCTACACAGCATTTAGCAAAGCAAAGTCCTACTGATGGTGAGAAATCCAACATATGAAATAGCACAGGGAATCTCATCTCTGACCAAGAGATGATCTTGAAAGTACATTTAGCTCAAAGTCAGAAATACTGCAAATTAATTCAAGATTCAAGCATGCGAGTCTGCATAGTAGATTTCTTTCATAGATAGGGAGTCGGAATATAGCTCGAATGCAAATCAATTTCATATGCCCTTACAAAAACGTCTGTATAATTACAGGGTACCAATTCCAGTGCACAGCATCTAAGAACGAGCATGAAAATTCAAGGACTAATTACTCTCTAGAATGTAAAACGACACAAAAGGGCCCAGCAAACGAATTCTTTCCCTCTAAAATGTGCAGTAGCGGGTGTCACGAAGCTGAAACACTCTTAGGTTTTCTCCTGCTAAATATTTGCCAACATATCTTTTACAACCAGACATATTTTAAAAGCTTGTAAATTCTACTAATTAAAAATGACGTGAGCAAGTTGTGAAAGCAGTGTTGGGAACAGGAGGGCAGGAGAAATCAGCGCCACGCTGAGTTGGGACCCTCTGAAGTTTCTGTTTTCTTTTTTGCGCGGCTCTATTCTGCATATTTAAAAGTGAGCGAGGGCAATATTTCTGTAATTATTTTGCTTTTTTTTTTAAGAAAAGATACAGACATTCCTTCTGGTTGCTTTATTGTGATGTGTGGCTAACACCATGTCAAGTACTACTAGTTGCTATCTGACATACCAAACGTACACAAACAGCGAAGCAGGCTCAAGACTCTCACCGCTTCTGGAGAACAAAGGAACGCGACGGTAACCTGCAGAGGGAATAATTCCAGTTAGAACAATCAAAACAAATTAACCAGTGACGGCCGGAACAGTGCTACTGAGAAAGAGGTGTCTTTACTGAGCATACATTTAAAAAAAACACGACTGTAGGGTTATATTTTCATCTTGGCTATTAACTCCACAAAAATGTAACATTTGCAGTATCTATTCTGACTTCCAGCATTCCACATGCCCTTCGTGCTTCTTTCACGTCCCTGGAGAACAGCATACTCCCAAAGTAGCCACCACACTCCTGCTCCAGGAGGATCCTGTTTCCCAGGCGAACCTCAGACGGTGTTGGAAAACTAAGCATACTGAGACAAGGTGATGGGGACACAGCAGAACCCCAAGAAAACTGACTCTGCAACTTGATGCCAGCCCCGGAAAGGATCAGGAAGGGACTCTCTGGATCCTGGCCTCTTTTCTTCAGGCAGGAAGAGTGAGTCACTGCTCCTCCCTTCTGTCTGATCCCCATCTTTAATTTAGTTATGGTAGCCATGACTACTCTTCATTGAAACAGAAGAACTATGATCCATGTAAAGAAACACGTGTACATGCCAAGTTTGTCTAATTAGTGTTCTGGCAAGTCCACATCCTCACCCCATCTTCCAGAACACATTTCTGTAAACCTACAGAAAGAAAATAGGTATAATACATGAAAGTATCGTTAGATCTTATTGTGTGGATAGAGGTATTTGGTATTTCCAAATGTGCCTTTGATAAAGACAAGATATATTTAATGTTAAAACACAATCAACTTACTTTTAAGAAAATTACCTTTGCTCATGCATAGAACTGGCAAAGTATATTGTCCGAGAAATTCATTTCCTGCTATTAAACCTGAATTTTCAACAACAAAACGCAACAAAGCCAATTCTGGTACTTGGATAATAAATGTGAATGTTTCATTCCATCTTGGACTAAAAGCTGAAATATAAAGGAATAGATAAAAAAAATTATAGTCCACCTCTAGGGAAAAATAAACAATAATTGTTCTACAATTTTTTTCAAAACTTTAGTAGCTGCAATAATGATGACTTGTGATTTAGAGCACTTAAATTTTTAAAGCATTCAATGAGAGGAATAAGCCATAATAACAATAACAATATTCTGTGTTTACTATGGCTAGGCAATGCTCTAAAAACTTTATATAATCATCTTTATTTTTCATAACAACCTTATCAGGGTTGTTACTATCCCCATCTGCAGATCAAAAAACTGAGGCACAAAGATGCTGCATAACTTCCTAGGGCTTCCCAATACATAGCCATTAAGTGGCAGAGCAGGAATTCAAACCCAGAGCAGAAATGTTTAATCATTATGCAACATAATTGATATGCCTGGACATTCCCTTAACAAAGACATTAAGACATGAGGAAGTTAAGTAATATCATTTTTCAAGACTAGGTCCTATTACAGGAAAAGTTCCATAAAGAGTTTTTGGACTAAAATCTAAATAATGAGTGCTCTTAAACCCTTCTTTTGACTAAGTGATCATTTCAAAGTCCAAAACCGATGAAAAATTTCAGTCTCTAGTGCAATAAATCATCCCAAACAACCAATCCCTTGCCAAAGCAAGAAATTGAAGTCATTTCACAATATGACTCAAATTGTCCAAAACCTAAGCATAACTAATGGAATCAAAATATTAATATTCAGATTAAATGTACTCTAATAAAGACTCAAAGCTTTGGAGAAAAACAATATATATTATTTTCAGGTATAAGGCCCATGCTACACACTTGTTACAACAATAGCTTGTGTTCTTCTGAGAAGCCTCAATGAATTTGCAACTAATTTTATTAATATCTATGTTTTCTATGGTGTACCTACAGTCACAAGGGCACATTACCAAATGGCAATCCAGGATGCAGTCCGTGCCCATGGAAACAGTAAACTAATTAGCCTGCTGGAATACTATCTGCATTACCTTACCTAAGATGAGAAATAAATCCATAAGGTACAAGGACAGATTTAGAATCAATTCCTTATAGACATTGCAGAACATCTACAGGAAATTCTTATACTGATTTGTCCTCCTTCCAACTTACTTCATTACAATACACCACTTCTGTCTCCCTTTCTCTGTATCTCTGTATCTTTATATAACTATCTGTCTCTGCCTCTCTCTATCTCTGTCTCTCAGACACATACACCCTGTATTACAGGAGAGGGTCATAAAAATGAAATTTGATGGTGATGAATATAGTTTTCCAGACATGACCACAATTGAGGATTTGCCTTCACACCTTATCTAAACATGATCCTTTTCCTCCGAGACCTTTCTATCTTCAATTACATCAGCACTACCTTAGTAGCTAAGCCCTCTTATCATTTCCTTGTCCACCTACACAGATACTTACTTGTCCCCAGTGTTGGTAACACACATCCTGCTTCCCTTTTCTACCACCACAGCCTTCTTTACAACCTGACTCCTACATCCTTTAACCACTGAAATCATATCCTGATTCTATATTGTATTTTTCATTTCCCTCTCATATATACTTCTTTATCTGCAGAAAAAAGCCTACTAAAGCACAACTATGTTCTAATGTTATATCCTGTTTTAAAGTCTTAATTTTGTCCATTTTCTAAAGGAAAGAAAGTCCTTAAAAGCTTAACATAGATTCTACAATTTTCTGTAACTATTCCCAACATAACTTTCTTTCTTTCTCATTTTGTCTTTCACTAGTCTTTCTTGAGCATGTTTTACAGCCATCATGAGCTTCTTGGCTTTCACCTAGCATGTTTGAATTATGTTTTAGGCCCATACCATTCTTTCTGCCTTAAATGGTCTTGTCTGAATCTGTGCAAAAGATTCTACATATTTTCCAAGAACCATCTCCAAATGTGCCCTATCCACCACAGTTCTTAGTACTCTCCTTGAATAATAGTCACACCTGTATCTCATCTCTCATATTGAATGGTACAGTATGACATTAATTGGGATATACATAATAAAACATTTAATAAATAGAAATTTAAGTCTCTTGATGCTTTTTAACACATAAGACTTTCAGCATAGCAAGAGGTCAGCTTTGATGAACTAAAGTGCATTTCTACAGAACTATTGCCATAAAACCTAAGGATATAATCAAAATTCTAGAATCATATTATTATAAGGGATGCGTTGACTAAATTAAGGATCTTCGCATTTTGCTGTGAAGAGTCAAGTAGAGAAAGAAGGGAATAAGAAATAGATGACTCAGCGGTGACTATTTCTGGACACTGCCATTGGAATGTGACTTCAACTCCAAAGAGTGCCAAATTAGACAGTAATTCACCACCAATATTCCTTTCCATTGATAACACAGAATGAAGCAGCAAATACCTTCCAAATCATTTTTTCTATGCCTTTTGTACTAGAGGCCATGCCGGAGGAAAATTTGGGGGAGTGCAAGGAAAGCAGACTGGGGACATGGCTAGAAATTATCATCCAGGAAGAAAAAGATTAATACAACTTCCACTGGCTCCTGTGCCCGTGCAATTTAGCCAGGAACTTAGGTTCAGACTCTGAAATGCAGTCCACTATTTGGCCATATCCATTCAAAAAGGATTCCAGACTCAAGGATCAGTTCCAAGGTGTCCTCTAAGGTGAACCTGACTAGGTAATCCCAGTAAGCTACCCTTTTATGTGTTTCCTTAGTGATCTTTAACTTCACAGAAGAAACAGCAATGCCAATATTATATTACATGAAATGTCATGGCCTGCCGGAACACTGAAAATCTTACTAAAGTTATTTCTTCCAAGTCTACATTTCCTTTTTGGCAAAAAGAATTGAATTAAAAATCCAATATTGCATGAGTCAGTTTCTATGACATCCTTAGCCTGACTCAGAAGCCACAGACCTTTGATCTAAAATAATTCAAATAATGAAGTAAAAATGTATAACATGCCGTGTCAGAACAATTGTGTTTTGTTTAAGTCAAAGGCTAGAAGCTAAATAAACTTGCACCTGTCAAAATGTCTCTATGCAAAATCAAGGAAAGCATAAAAGTAAAAACTAATAATTTTGCAGGTCAGATAAATTTTTGTATCTGTAATCTGAAAACAACCCCAAACAATCTCATCATTATCAGATTGCTTTTGCTGCAGGTAATTTTGTTCGTCTTGAACATAATGCAAAACCATTGCTTTATGAATAATAAATGTGTATAAAGACTCTATTAATATGTAATTTGTAAGCCTTCCAACACAAAGTCTAATAGAAGTTTTGTAAGATGTAGTAGGAGCTTACCGTTTTTTTTAATGACTCGAGTCTGCCGTTTCATATGATCATTCGGAACACCAAAAACTTCTATAATCACTAATGTATCTGGTTTGTGAGAGGAGGAACCACTAAGAGGCAACTGGATCCCACTAATGAGCTGCACAAATATAGATGGCACAAGAATTTAGCAGAATAGTAAACTGTAGCACCGCTTAATTTCAAAATAAAATGATATACTCCAAACATTGAGTAGACTCTAAGTTAGTTCCTACAAGTAGGACGCTGGAAAATAATGCCAGTTTAAACTTTTTACCCACAAACATCAACACATAAATGTCAATAACATGTCTAAATCATTTCATTTTACTGAAATGTGCTTGTAAAGAAATCCACAATATCCAAAATTGATGGTTCATTATCATATTTTTATTTTTAAAACATTTTTGCAGTCATTTTTACTGTAATTCAGGTCGAGTAACTCTGATAACATGAGCTATCTTTATATTTATACTATGTACACTAAAATATTGAAAGCGATATGAATATAACAAACGCACCATATAGTTTTCATAACATTTCAATAGCATTTGTACTTGAATAATTTATGCAAATTTGCATTATCCATTCCTATCTGTATTACCATAACAAGCAATCTGAATTTTTAAAAAATCAATTACCTTATATGTATATTACAGACCAGTTATCAAAAGAATGTTTAACAAAATAATTAAAATAGTTTTATTGAGACTATTATAATGCCTAATTATTGAAGCAAAAATTGGGGGGTTTTTTTGGTACCAGGGATCGAACTCAGGACCTTGTGCTTGTGAGGCAGGGGGTGGAACCACTGAGCTAAATCCCAGGCCCAATTTGTGCTACTTTTAAGAGCAAAGTGAACATATAAAAAGTATGCTATGTACTAATTTAGAGTAAGAAATGAAAGTTTGAAGCCTAAAAATACAGTTACAAAACTTGAGGCATAATTTTAATTTCTGAAGGTTATATAAAAGGGAACAAAATAATAATTAAATTTAAGAAGAGGAAAAGAGAGGGAAAGAGAAAGGGAGAGGGGAAGGTGGGAATAGAGGCAAACAGGGAGGGAAAAGAAAAGAGAAGAAAAAACCAGAAAAGTAAGACAAAGAATAACTGGTAATTTGTAACTTTTCCTTTCTTAAGTCCACGCATTACCTAGAAACCAGGATGACTGTAAAAATTTATTTTTCACTTATTAGCATATGTGTGCAGCACATAATTATTACATTCATAGAGGGAGGTTGGTACATGCACATGATGCATCTCAATTCTTTTTACTTCCCTTTCTTCTCCTCTACCATCTTCTCTCCATTTCTACACTCAATTAGCACCAGTCAGCATAGTTAGATATCAGAATATTTAGAAAGAACACTTATCATACACACTTATTATACTGATTCCAAATATCAGCATACACTAGCTACTATCAGCCCTGCAAATAATTGAGAGTCTCAAACAGGAGAAGATTCAGTTTTGAGGTATTTCTCACACACACAAAAAGCCTAATTTAAAAGAAACTGAAAGATAATTTAGAGAATATTGGTCAGATAATTTGTCAACTCTAATTTACAAATTCCCTACCAGAACCATTGTACAGGAAGGGATGTCAAACAGAAAGCCCCGTGGTCAATCAGAGTAAATTTTTTTTCAACCCTTATACATTAGATTCTGAATTTAGAGGGTGGTTCCATGGTTTTTATAAGCTTGAAAATAACTGACATAAATGCAAACTCTCAGTTTTCAAATGACAAAAATTAGAAAAAAAATACTGAATGGCTTCATTAGGGACATACGGAAGCTCACAGTGCAATTAGACCCCCTAATTCCCAAATGCGCTCAGCAATTTTTGCAAGTCATAAAGTAATCACAAAGCTTCTTAGGATAATCAAGAGGGAAAGAACCACATGGCCACAGCAGCAGCTACTTGGGAAAGCCATTTAGCCCACTTGTTTCCCTCCATATCACACCTCCACATGGGACTCGCCAGGATAAAGCGCATGGAGTTTGTAAACATCTGTGGTCCTTTCCAACGAAGGAGCACCTTTGATTTCTTTACCTATTATTCTCAACCCAAAAAAGAAATCATTCAATTAGTCTACATATACTGAGCATATATGTTATGTTAGGTACTCTTACTCAGGATTGAGCAAAACTCATTTCTTGTCCTTAAAGAACCCTCAGGTAAGTGGGGAATAAGGACAAGTAGCAAGTAAGTAAGTGATTACAATACAGTGTGATAAATGATTACAGTGCAGTGTGATATAATTTGTGCATCCAGAGGGTGTCATGGAAAAACAGGGGGAAACTACAAAAAGTAGCACAACCAACCTAGCCAAGAAAAAGCTTCCAAAAAGATGACATTGCTAAGTCTTCAAAAATGAGTCAGAATGCAATAGACAGATGCAGGATGGGAGAAAAGTCCAGTTAGAAGAAAAAGCACATAGATTCATGGAGGTGAATCACAAGTCAGAGAAGGATCTTAGTTCCATGTGGTCATAGAAATGGGGTTAAAGCTAGAAGTGGTGAAATGTACAGGCAAGGAAGTAGGCCAGTAGGCAGAAATATATATTAAGTATGCATGATAAAAGCAGCACTGCAGCAAAATAGCTCTCGTCGGCCTGCGTAAGAAGGATCGAGAGCAGTAAGACAGGTTACCTGAACATTTCTGAGAGGCCCAAGGAAGACATTTGTGACAGATAGCAAAGTTATGAAACAGGACAGCAGCAAAGGAGGTCAGACCAAGACGATGAATAAGGAAGACATGTGGGAGAAGGAGAATTTAATGATGAATTGGAAATGGGAAGTGAGAGAGATGTATGAGGTTGGAATTGCTGCCAAGCTTCTTCTCTGGGCTGATTGGATGAAGGGTCCCATTAACTGGCATGTGAATAAAACGGTAGAAGTAAGTTTGACTAGGAAAGGATGTTCAGGTTTTAACTTGTAAACCTGACGGAGTGGTGATTAAATAGGTAAGGATGCTAAAGAGACTATGAAAAATGAAGTCAGATTAAAGACCTGACCACTGTTGGTGGTTAAGCTATACATGTTTGTAATAAAAGAATCCAGGAGAATATTTTAGTTTGAAGAGAAAGTTGGGTTAAAGCACTAGGCAACAAAAATAATTTAGGAGCAGGTAGAGAAAGAGGAACCTACCTATGCTAGTGAGACAGAATCACTTGGGAGGAAGGAAATAAAGAGAGAGCACAGGGCAGTCCCTGTAGCACAAAAGGAGATTAGTGTGGAGTAGGAAGAGATCTCACAAGTGGCCAGTTCACCTCTTCTTCTCAACTAGATCGACTATTTTTTAAAAATACAAAACAATGTCATCTTTTAAGAACATTATAAAATAATCTCAATGGTCAATGCTTTGCCAGATCCTAAAAAGAGTATCAACAAATCAGTCTTTCAGCTGCCCCCACTGTGGTATCATTCTATACCTCTCCACTATTAAGTCTCCTATTTTAATCTCATGAAATCATTAACAGCCAGGAGAAATGTCAGCTCCATACTTCACTGGCACTGCCTGCTGCCAGGGCCAGCAGCGTTTCAGTTCGGTCCATCTTTGTTGCACTCTCTGGCCACGTTAATTTCTGAAAAATAGCTCTCACACTTCCCATGCCCAGCTGGACTAAAGGCTGGGGCCTAGAGTAGAGGAGTGGTCTCCTATGCCCTCCGATGCTGAGACAGTGGAGGAAGGATTGCGGTAGGAGTGGTGGGGGAAGCGCACTCTAAAGATTCAGTGACATTTTAAAGAGTAAATACAGCACTTGGGTTATAGAATAAGAAGGAGGTTTTGAAAAATCTGTGCTAATGGAAACAATACATTTCAGACAACTGCTTTTGCTTTCAATGAAATTATAGTTTATAATAAAATAAAAGGAGAAAAATAAAGGAGTAAGATGGTAGTATGAGGAGAGTTATGGGAAAGACTCAGGTGGAAATAAAAAGGAAGCATTTTTAGGTAAATGACATTGGGGAAGGGGTAAAGTAATAGAGGAGAAAAATTCACATCCACAATAAAATTACTAAAGAATAAAATCAAACAGAGACTAAATTATTAACATAGAAAATAAATGTTAAAAGCTCTCCCAAAATGCAGAGGAAAAGGGAATGTTCTAAACTCACGCAAATGAAACACAGAAAACATATACTAGAAGAAAGCATGGGGATACTTTTCTTTTCTAACCAATCAAATAAGGTCCATAGATATAAGGGAGAAAAATATCCTGAACTACAAAAGCCTAGTTCTAGACACCGATGAAAGGAAAATACTTTCTAGGATTGCCTGGTAAAATTCTTAAAAGTTAAAGGAGAAAAAGTAGTACGTCCACAAGGTCATTAGCAGACTGAATTTGGATCTCCCTATTCCAGCGGTAAACGCTGAAATACAGGAGAACAATATAAATAGCTCCCTGAAAGGAAAAGGCTTTAACCTCGATATTTGTATTCATGGGCAGGTAAGCATTCATGTAAAAATACAACAGAAAGACATTTTTCAGATATGGAATCATGCTGCAATACCGCCCATTTATAGCACCTGAAAAGATTAACAGAAACTTGAAAGTCAGTAAGGCAAATCAATGGAATTTAAAAGAGTAATGAACACTATGTAGCTGATATAATAACCAAGAAAAATTAGAAGAAGACGTCATTAATCTTACCCTTATTGTAATTGCAATTGGATCGTTGTCTTTTATTGAATCATTTGGGTTAAATTTTGATTTAATATCTCTTAGGAACTGAGGTTTCAAAATATATCCAGAACCACCATTATCCAAAAATTTCCCATTTTGCAAATCCATAGGCAGACCAGGGGTCTGGAAATTTAAGGCCACTGTGAGAAGGAAGTATTTTGATGTTATTAGGAAAGGGTGACAGTTAAAGAGATACAGCTAAATAAGTTACTGAAATCTGATCACAGATTATATATCTTATTAAAAGCATCATCAACCTAATATTTCTTGATTTGTAATCCTTTTTCTCCTGTGTCTATATTAATGTATGTTGGTGAGTTGTAAAGTTCATTCTACAAATTAAATCACCATATAAATTTGACTAAAGTAATCAAAATGGCACATAGTATGAATTACAGAAGAACAGTGTACATGTCAGGTAACATTCAAGAAATATAAAAGTAAAGAAAATGAGTTCATTAAATTCAGGGAACAAAGACACCAACTATATCACAAGCTTTCAAATCCAGGAGGTGCTGTTGTCATTTGAAGAGAAATTAAGAAACAGAATGGTAATTGTTAAAGCGTAGCAGTATCTCAATACATGCCTCCCCCATGGCCCCGCACCCCACTCTGCTCAACCCTAGAGGTCTTGCTACAGTGGAGAAGTAGAAGGGTTCACACCTGACGCTGGCCTGTTATTTCCAGTCCTGTTCCAGCTGTGCAATTAGAAACCAAGAGAGCCTGTGACAATGCATAACCGAGCTGCATGTTCTGCCCATTTTCAAGGCTGGATCTAGATCATGCAAAGTGTAAACAATAGAAGTCACTTGATTTGAAGAGCCCTTGAGCTCAACTTTCAATCAAAAGACTTTGATCTTCAAAGTCTTTTGCTCATTTTGGTTTCCTTGTTCGTTTCTTCTACCACATATATCCCACAACGACAGTTCATAAATTGAACCTCCACGCCCTATATTCCACCTAGATTTATCCTCTCCAAGCCATCTATGAATGAATGCACCTCTCAAGACCAACGATTCAACACTGAGTGCCTGAATCCAAAACCCCCAAGGCCAAAAAATTTTTATAAAGAGTTTATTCCTTAATTCATAAAATGAATTCACTTTAACTTATTCTTGCAAACAACTCAATATTCTATATAACATACCCATTTGACAGCCTATATTCCAAAATTCTTGAGGATTAAAGTTAGAAGAGTCTGCTCTTGTTGCTTTGGGATATATTCTGGTAATGAACTTCCTTGTGTGAAAAATAAATTCATTGACTAAAAACAGGAAGGAAGGGAGGGAGGGAGGGAGGGAGGGAAAAAGGGGAGAAAGAAAATTATTAAAACATTATAAAAGAGTTAAAATAAACTAAGCTACTACTTCTATATATAATTCTGTAAGTTTCATTAATATTGATATTTATTGTTTTCAAAAAATATTTGTAATTCATAAAAATTAAAATGGATCCCATGCCTTTATGTTTACAGTCACTATTATCATTTAATAATTATTATAGTATATAATTTATGTACACTGATAATTCACTTGAGGAAAAAAATGGATTCAAATATTTCTATTTCTTTTTTTCACATCCAAATTAATTTCACTTTAATATAAAGCACATAAAATTCTTAATTAAATACTTTCTTTTAAAAACAAAATTAGCATTTCCCCCACTTTAGTTTTTTCTGAACTTCGATTTTTATATTAGAATCAAATCATATGAAAGCCAAATGAAGCTGTAGGAGTCTAGCGAAATTAACTTGATTGAACATTTCCCAGATGCACAGGGTTCAGTAAGAGTCCCAAGCTAATTGATTCAGGTCCCAGCCCCTCCACTCCAGCATCTTCCTGTAAATTCATTAAATTTCTGCTTACAACCCTTCAACAAAAAACACCTACCTCTCAATAATTATTTTAGTGCTTTCTTGACTAATATACATATACTGTATATACATATACAAACACTTATATATTTAACCTGTTTTTAAATGTGCTTTTTATATTTCTACTAATCCATATTTCATTGAAATTTGAAATATACTGTTACGTTTTATATCTAGATGCCCCCCAAGAGCCTCATGTGCTCAGAGAAGGCCTTTGGGCGGGTGAATGGATTTCAAGGCATTCATTACAGCTGACTGGCTTTGGAAGGTGGAGTCTGGTTGGAAGAGATTGGTCACTAAGAGTGCGACCTTCTGGGGTCCTCCCTTCACTCCCTCTCCTTCCTGTCCACAATATATTTGCTAGTGAAACTAAATCAGAATTATTTCTTCTGTCCATATAAGTATTATTCTTTAGGAGTCTTCATCAATTTAAAAATTATTGTTAATTTCATCAATATTTAGTTTTAAAAATTACATGCCCTTGAAGCCATTTGGGTACAAATAAGCATGGGTGTATCATGCTTCCTTATGTAGGGCTAAGAGATATCTATTCGTAGGCAGAAGAGATGCTTTTCTGGTACTAATGTTTCCCATCTACAAATTAATATATGAATGATTACTAAAGTCCCATAACACAATACAGTTTTGTAACTTCTGAGACTTAGCTTTAGAAATTAAATTAAACATGATTTGTTATTACAAATGCAGTTCATGTTCATTGTAGGACTATGAGGAAATCAAATGAAAAAAGAAAACCATATACCATCTCATCACTCAATTAAGAACAATTGAAAACTGCTTGGTATGTATCTTTTCCTTTTTTCCTATCTATATGATAATTTTTAAAATTGAGTCATATTGTTTATTCCCTTTTACAAATTGTCAATTTTTACTTACTAAAATAATGTGAGAATTATTCTAGTTCAATAGCCTTCATCTACCACATTTGTTTTATTGATGTTTTTATGGTTGTAATTATACTAGGTACCTTTGCAATTCAATCATTGCCAACATCATTCATTATTTATTAATGACTTTGGTGCAATAAAAGTACTCTGTGCTCTGCAAAGGAAAAATGGTGATGCTATATTTTATGGCTCTATTCAGTACTACCTAATACCCTTCCAAAAAATTTTTGCAAGTATTTAATCTGATAAGATTGAGCGAATCATAACTCCTTCTCTTATGTCCAGAGGTCTCCTCGTCAGCAACAACAAAAGCTATCCAGTAGTTTGAAGGGACAGAGGTCAGCTAGTAAAGCAGGTCATTCAAACTCTATTTCCACACCATAGAATACAAAATACACCAAACACACACACCTAACTCACAACCAAACACACCTGCCTATACACACATTTGTTTTATAAAACAGTACAATACCCCTATTCTACTCTATTCTGTTACTTCATTTTGTTCTGTTTCATTCCATTCCATTCTACTCTACACTATTCTACCCTATTCTATTATTTAACTGTAATCCAGATTTGTTGAATTGGCTTTTTAATCCCAATACACAGTTGTCATTTGCATTTTCATTATTTTAAAAAGGCCCTTAAAAGATCCAGGGTAATTCTACTAGGCAATTTGAGAATACAAGCTAAAGGACGGTTCAGAGCCCTCGGATACCTTGGCACAGCCCAATGAGGTTGACTAGTGAACTTGTCAGCATGCATTTCCAAACAGCTTTTCTCAAGTCAATGGCAAGGGCTGATTTTCTTGCTCTAGTGTTTCTATACAAAATGGCAAATGATTGCAATTTTTTGAGAATAACTCCTGGCCATTACATTAGTTTCCCATTCCTTTTAAGTCTGGGACATTCCCTATCACATGAGTCCAAGAAGCCAATGCAGTCTGCTTCCCATTCTCTTTCCCTAGCTGTGTGTCATCTTTGGTGCTACCAAACAGAAGAACATCCTCATATTAGAATTAAACAGGAAGAAGAAGGTGACACAGAGAAGTGTGACCTCTGGAGGTGGCAGTACATACTCTAGGGCTCCACCTTGCGTGCCATTTCCTCTCCCTCCTCCTCGTAGGCATAGAACCTGCACATTTAATTTCAGCTCTTCGGTGCCAACTGAAGCACAAAGTTCTTCCTGTCTCAGTTCTCACTGCTGTAAGCCTCTTGGTTCCCTCCCTGCTGTAAGCCTCTTGGTTCCCTCCCTGCCTGAAGTCTCTCGGGCTGCTTCTGAGATTGCGATCTTCTCCAGCCCAAGTTTCCCTCTGAGATAAAGCCTAATGCCTTGCAAGTCGGTTCTTCTGCCTCTAAGGCACCCCAAATGCGCCTCCCCAGCCCCCTGGACCAAAGTAGCCACACTGGACAAGCTCAACTACAATGTCAACCTAAAGAAGACAACCAATGGCTAAATTCTGTGAAATAAAACTTAACTTGAGGCACATAACTCCTAAATTATGTTAAATATGTTGACATTTTATGAGAATATAGACTTTATAAATATTGCTGACCCATCTTAACACCTCAGCAGTGACTATAATTGATTTAAATACTTCATCTATTTCAATTGTAAGATTTTACCTCTCAACTTGGAAAGTTTTCGGGCTTGTGTCTCCCCAATAGAATTATTTTCATTAAATTGCTGATATTGTCTTGAATATTGGAAACTTCTGAACTTTTCAGCTTTAGTATAAATAACAAGATCAGATAAAGCCAGAGCTATTTTTAGCTTCCTGATCTAAAAACAAAATGACAGAATTTCACATTTTTTACACCATTTGAAAAATCCAATTTCAAAAAAAAAGTTTTTTTAATAGGCAATTTTACTCTTTTCATAAGGTTATCTCCTCAAAAACTATTTGGACAAGTCAGTGTGACTATTTTGTGACTATAATATTTAATGATAATTTGAGCAAGCTGTTATGGCTTGTGTTTAGATGTCCCCCCAAACCCTCATGTAGGTGAGGTGGGGCTTTCTCTTCTGAGGTGGCTGCATCTAGTGTGTGATGATCTATGCCTGTCTGCCATCCCTGCCTTGGAGCCAGCTGATCATGGACTGAAACCTCTACAAACTGTGAGGCAAATAAACCTTTCCCCCTTGGACTTTGGGTGTCAGGTATTTGTCTCAGCAATGAGAGAAAAGTAGCTAACACATAGGCTTAAGTTTAAAAAACTCAATTAATATAGTCCATATTAAGGATAACAATTATTGCTATATTCTTTTCCCCAAAGATCTCAGCTTATTCTCATGAACTTAACAATTTAGGAATTTCAGTCAAACATATTTCCAATTTGATCCAACAATTTAGTATATGTGTTACCAAAGCAATCAGTTGGAATAACTTCTATCGTATAGGAAATATTTGCTCTTTTATACTCAGCATGTGTTTCCTCTGTACTTTTGTTAGACACTTCCTAAGTTTTGTTTTGAGGAAATATCCCCGGCTTGTGCTAGATCCATGCATTCACATAATGATCATATAGACTGGGCCCTGCAAATCAAAATTGTTCATTCCTCATCATCAGTAATTGGTTCAAGGCTGTCTAGATAAACAAATCATAGTCAATGAAAAAAAAATTGTTTTCTACTCCACTGAGAATTAAATAGGCATTCCACTGCATTTGAATTTGAAAGAATATAAAGCACAATTTTTCCAATAGACTTGCGCCAATACAGAGAAGGTGGGACCAAAGCTGGAGAAAAAATGAAATTCTGTTGACCTTGTTTGAGATGCTATGTACCAAACAATTTTTCAAATTAAATTCCTTTCTCTAAATTCTTTTCATCTGGATAGATAAATGAATTAACTCTCATTTTATTTAAACCATGCAAGCTAGTGACCTCCAACGGACACAGTAATAGACACACTTATAAAGCTATACATTTTAAACACTGATCTCATTTGTCTCCACTTGAGGACAGAGAAATTATATTGTTTATCTGCATCATACTTAGTGGATAAGGATCCATGATAATTTTCAATTATAGTGAAAAAATTTAGTAACACCTGGTACAGGGTAAGAGGTAACTTTAAAATTTTCTTTTTCACTGTCAATTTTTTCAAAGTAAATTTTGAATGATAGACTTGAGACTTTAGGAGGACAAGATTCTCTCTCCAGAATATTTTCAATTCTCCACCAACAAGAATATTTGCAAATTTTCAATCATTTGCAAGATTTTCACAAAGCTTCATCTCACCTTTTTTTTCTTGGAAAAAAGTGTTACCGGAAGTGCCTTCTTTGTCTCTGTTTCCTTTCCTTGGCTGTCTCTTGACAACAAATTTTCATATGTTTCTGTGGTTGTTGATTCCTCCTCGTCCTCCGTTTCTGCCTCTTCCCACAACCCAACCTTACCATGCTTATCAGAGCCTATCCTCTCACGGGTTTCCTGTAAGGTTCCTATTTTCTTATTTTTGACTAAGACTTTGAATTTTAATGCCTGTAGAAACAATTTGAAGGACAGGTACAGTTACACACTTAGGTAATTTGCATTGGAATAGTCATTAAAAAGCGCTTCACCATGTTTCATATCAGCCTGCAGTAGTAAGATACATAAGGCCTCTCTTTTTCTACACCCCTTTTTATACAGTGATATTACAGCATCGACTCTAACTCACCCCCAATAATACCTGTTATGACTGGGATTGACCATATGCCATCTCTTACATTTCAGAAATTTCTATTTAAAAAATTTGAATAGCACATGATGGTTAAGTTTGGGTGTGTCAACTTGATGAGCCTGGGAGCTGTCTGGAGGATTAGAAAAGCACACTTCTGCATGTGTCTGGATGGGTCATGGAGGTGTGACTGGGGGGACTGTATCTGGTCCCTCGGTTCTTCCTCTCTGATGCTTTTCCCTGCTCTGCTTTTCAGCCTGAGCAGCTTTGCTCTGCCACCTCCTTCTTCCATGATGTCCATGTCTTATAGCTACTGCCATGGTCTGAATATCCCAAAACCATGAGCCAAATTAAACTGTCCTTTACAATGTAGGTGTTGGGTATTGTGTCTCTGAGGCAAGCAGGTGATCAACATAGTATACATATATGAAAATACTTGCTACACTATTAAAGTTAGAATGTTACAACCTTTGGTACTAAAAACTTTAGGTCATTGCTCTCTTAGCCAATATGGAAACTATTCAATGAGATGAGTATATAAAAATGTCTATCAGTGTCCACATGGAGTATAGTATACATCAAAGATTTACACATAAAAGCCTCATCAGTTTGACTGTATTACATGCAAGCATCAGCAACTTAATAGTACTTTCTGTCCATAAATCCAAGGACATACCAAAACATCACCATCGGGGTCACAGATATAAATCTGAAGCTTCTGATTCCATTCCCTCACTTAGTTGCCACTACCCTTTTCAAAACTTTGCTCATTTAACAAATACATGTTTAAGTATCTGCTGTGATATATAAAGCTGAAATCTGAGTTCTGAAGTAAAGTTCTTTTCTCCAAAGAGTTTCAATTCTTACTTCCCTTTTGTTATCCTATGGCATCTACTCAAATTACATCACCATCTTCGGACTTCTCACTTTTACTACGATCCTTATGTTATTCCCACCAAAGTGCACTCATTGTACAGCCACACGCCAAAGGTATTATCGGGGGTAATTGTAAAGGGGACAAATTTCTGAGATCTTATTCAATTTTAGGGAGTCAGAATCTTGAATTGTGGAGCTAGAGTTAAGGCCTCCTTAACCAATCTCTAGATGTTTTTCTTTTCTACATAATGAAGAATGGAGTATGAGCAAAACATTTTATCTCTAATGCCTCATTTACTTGTCAAAAACCATCTCCTTACTTTAGTGTGGAAGTTGAAACTTCAATAACTATGTATTGGAATGCTTTAAAAAAAGGCCATATGTAGCAGATTCTGTTTATAGCCTGAACTTTTTGCCTCTTTTTTAACCTTTTACCTATAAAACATATCAATTTCCTGGTGCTTAATATTAATAACCTAGAAATTATGGACCCATGATATATGACAATCAAAATGTGGGAGATTTTATATATATATATAATATTTCCTTTATATATTCTCTTTATCCACCTATATATCCAGAAGAACCTTTCCTAGGAAACACATGACAAAGATTCACCTCACTAAATAATCAAAGCTAAGCATTTTTGTGGTCTTTAACCTTGTCTCATGGGCCAATATAATAGTGATATTTTGTTTTGTTTCATTCGTCCATAACCTGAGCTCCTCAAACAAACATTACCTCTGGTGACGGTAGGCTGTCTGGAAAATCATCAAGTATATCAGAAAGCAGGGAATCTCCAAAAGTAGTCTGCAAAATGCCAGCCATCACTTCCTGTTGGGCAGTGGAGCAGTGATTTTCTAAAGAGAGAACCACTGGGTACTCAGATGTCTGAAAAATTAACCATTGCTATGGTTATTATCAAAACTTTTTAAATAATCTAATGCAATTAATATAATTACTTTAAAACTCACTTCTAATGTTCAAAATTTTTATGGATTTTGAAAGTACTTTGGCATTTGACAATAATAAAGGAAATCATTATTATTTGCATCAAAAATAGAGAAAAAAACCTGAAGCATCCATCAGTGGGTGTTTGTTTAAATAAATAATATCATTTTCATATAAACAAATTATGTAGGCCCATTGAGAAGGTAGAGCTACATATACTGCTATAGAAAATCATCTGTAATATAGTAGTTTTCTATCTTTTGCAGAAAAACAAGTTTCCTGCTACAGTTTGTATGTTAAATGTTCCTCAGCAGCCTTTGTGCAAAAGGATAAGTCCCCAGTTTGGCGATATTGCTAAGTCGTGGAAACTTTCAGAGGTAGAGCCTTGTTGAGGTCTGCTGGTAATAGGAAGCTGCCTCTTTTCTCTCCTGCACCTACCTTTTTTCTGTCTTTGCTGTCCTGACTCTGAGATCAATGATTTTTCTCTGCCATGATGTACTGCCTCAGCACAGGCCCAAGCGCTGTGGGGCCAACCTACCATGGACTGAAACTTTCAAAATCATGGATCAAAACAATTCTTTCTTCTTTTTAAGTAGACTATCCCATGTGTTTGTAACAGTAGCAGAACACTGACTAACACATTTCAAAAGAATATTACATATTTTATTTTAATACATATACACATCTGTCTGTATACATACACACACACATATATAGAGAGAGAGAAAGATTTAAATATTTTAAGGAAAACCTTAACAGTCAAGGGAAATGCTAATTTTCTACTTTTTCATTTTTCAGTCCCATAATCAAAACACATTGCTTAAGAAATTAGAACAAAGGTAAAATAAAAATATGGAGTCAAATCAGAAGATGTTTTGAAAGTAGAGGCAAGATGATTTGCTGATGAACGGCTGGAAGGGTCTAAGAGAAGAAGAGAACAGTTAAAGTTGACAACAATGACGTTAGTTTGAGCATGTGAAAGGCCAGCAGCTGAAAAAAGAAAGGTCATAGGAAGAGCAGGATAGAAAGAGGAATATAAGCTTAATATCAAATACATATGTTCAGTCAAATGTGTTGATTCAACAGTCAAGTGGAAATGTCACAAATGTGGTTGCACATATTGACTTTGATTCAGGATAGAATTTGGAAGAGAGATATGGATTTAGAAATCTTCAGAAATTAGAGAATCAATGCCCTATCACAATGTTTCTATATTAACATAGAAATTGCTTATTTGATATTTCTATCTTGAGAATATTTATTTTACACTCTATGTTAGTATATAATAGAGCAATAAATATAAATGTGTGATTTTTAAATTTGTACTTATACATCAGGTAATCATTAACACAGAACTTTGAGTTTGCTAGATTTGTAAGTTTATTAGGTACACATTGGAAGACTTTCTTAAATCACTTCAGTTGCACTATAATTGAAGTTAAGAAAAAAAATCCAGCATATTAAGTTTACAAAAACAATTTGAAATGCCTGAATATGTATAATTAGCCAAGTTTATGAATGAGACTAAACACTATTCAAAACTCCTTAAAAATTGAGGGTTTGCTAATATCCATTCAATGTATAGACTATAATTTATAAAATGAATTTAGTTATACAAAGACCTAGATCTTTAAATCTATAACTTTAATAAATTGAATAACAAATTACAAATCCAAAATAAACTTTAGAATATTCTTTGTTATTGCAATTATAGTCATAAATAATGTGAACAATAGATAATGCATTATTGATACATTTGATTTTTGTTTTGAAAATGAAATAATTGATTACTTGGAAAATGTTTATTATTATTCTGATCAATATTTTTAAAACATTTTGCCCATAACCTATAGCAAAAAAAATATATATTACATTACATCACAATACATACACACACACACACACACACACACACACACAGGATTTAGCAAAAAGTTTCATAAAATAGCATGCACCTTACTGCCTCAGTATAACTTTGATAAATGTATCTGTAACTATACATTACATGGACTCTACTGTCTACTACTGTGTCATAACCCACAATTTTAAATATCACAGGTCTAAATTGGGCGTGGTGACACACACCTGTAATCTCAGTACTCCCGAGGCTGAGGCAAGAGGATTGCAGTGAGTTCAAGGGCAGCCTGGGCTACACAGAGAGACCTTATCTCAAAATAAAATAAAATATCACAAGTCTAAACCAAGGCCAAACATTACAGGATTTTGAAGAGAATAAATTATAATTAATTCTTTTTAAAATAAATACAATTTTTAAAAGATAGTTGCATACCATGAATGCATACTTGTGTATTGCTTGGATAACAGTTTTAAATAGAAGCTTGCTGGTGAGTGTATAACCGTGGTATACAACAGGTTCTGCTTGTGATCCATCCCAGCAGTCAATTTCCAGACATCGGCATCCTTTCACAAGGGCACTAGCAAAATTTAAGCAAAATAGCATATCATTCCTGGACAGATAACAATATATACCATAATGTCAAAATATTCAAAAGACTATTTGTGATTTTGTAACAAATGCATAAATTCATTCATAAAGATAAGATGTGAGTCTTTAGCTTAAATTTACAACCTCAAAAACGAAGAACAAACTATGTGTGAAGTACAGCATAACACTTGCTTCTTTCTAGTCAAACATTCCGTTCATTATTTCTATTCAAAGTTTAGTTCATAGGAAGAAGAAAGCTGCCTGCCTCCACAGTTGTAGTTAGAAAACATCCTTACCCTCAAACCAAATAATTTTTGCTGGAGTGATATCTACTGTTCAGTGCTGTATCACTAGGATGAGATAGCATTCAAAGACATTTTCGGATAATAAAATATTTACTTAAAATTTTATCTGACTCTTTCCTTATCTCAAGTTCTGCAGAATAGAATACACGGTGAGAAAAAAAAGGGAGGAGGGAGGAAAGAGAGAGAGAGAGAGAGAGAGAGAGAGAGAGAGAGAGAGAGAATATGCTCCCTGTAGAAAAATGTTGGATTGAACTAGAGGAAAGCAGAGGGCTTGAGAGCTTAGTAAACATTCTTTATCTTCTCAACTTTCCTGTAACACTATCTCTTAATTCTCAACCAAGAGCTAGGGGAAATTAAAATTTATGCAAAGGAAGCATGAATACCTTAATCTATGTCTACCTCACTCAAAATTTTACTGAGAGAAAATTAGGAGCTACATCAGATTACACTAAATTCACAGATTCATCTGAACTAAGGAAAATGTATTTCCACTTCAGCTGATATCTAAAACTGAGTTTGATTTTACATTTGTCAAATAAACCTATCTCTTGACCTAAATCTTAGGCTTATAGTCATTTGTTTTTACTAAAAGAATCAGTGTTTTTACTAAAAGAGAGGAGTGACAGAATGCTTTATTAACAGGTACTTTTACCTATCTTGTCAGTTGGCACTGACTGGACCCAGATTTTTTACTGACTCAGTATTAATGAAGGTACATAAATAGAGATGTCTCAAAGTCTTCATAGCCAATACAGAGAAGCTCACTGCATGTCATTATAAAATAGGTTATATTTTGTTAGAGTTCCCTAAAATGTATTGATACATTTATAAAAAATGTTTTGTTGACTCCTGAAAATATATGTATCTCAATAAGATTCGTTTTTTTTGTTTTGTTTTGTTTTGCGCCGGGGATCGAACTCCGATCCTTGAGCTTGCGCAGCAGGCGGCGAAACCACTGAGCTAAATCCCCAGCCCCTAGATTCTTTTTATTTCACAGATGCACACACATAGCTGCACTGAACTGGACACATCTTTCTTTTTAATTTCTGAGACCATGGCCTGGCACAGAGCTAACATATGATGCCAACCACAGCGCTCTCACCACCAACACGGCAAGCTGACTAGTACCACGGATCAGAATCCTGCATTTTCTGCCTATTTTTTACGTTCTAAGTTCCAGGAGAGCAGGAAATTTCAGTTTCATAAAAACTGTCTGACACACAGTTGACTATTAGTAAATATTTATTGTGTTTATATTAGAAAAGAATGGGAACTGTAAAGTGTACAAAGAAAAGTGGAAGGCAGATAAAATTGATCTTTCCGAAATGCAATCTTGAATCAAATGAAGGCTGACTTGAGATGACAGGATCGTGGAACTGGTATTGGTCTGCTAGGGAAGACTTCTTTAGAAGTTGTTTTGCTATACACAAAACTATTTTCCCATAAAAAACAAGTAAACACTTATTGTCCCTGAAGCATATTCAATTAGTCCACTGCCTCTAGGACACTCACTCTCAATGGGGATGGTTTTGTCTCCTAGGAGATGTTTGGCAATGTCCAGACATATCTTTGTTTGCTGAGGGTGGTGGGAAGATTTGATACCAGCATCTACCGGGTAAAGGCTAGGGATGTTGGTAAACATCCTACAATATACAAGGCAGATCTTTACAACAACAAAAATCATCTGACATAAAATATGAAGGATTTGGGAAACCCTGCCTGATGTCATGGCATTCTAGCGTATCCAGTGCTTATACAAATCAATAGTTTTTCCAAACAGAAGCAGGAAGTGCCAAAAGACCATACAAGAAAATGTACCTATTAGATCTAGTACTTCTTAGGCAACATATCTAGTCCCTTGATAGGGAGATGACAAGGAGTATTAAGGAATGTGGCTAAGGAAAATTAAAGCAATTACAGCACCAAGTCAGTGTGGTGGATTCAGAAGCAGAGCCCTTGTATTCCCTGGGGAATAACAGATGAAAGATGGAAAGAATATGAGGAGGTAGGGTGTTAGAAGGAAAAGGAAATTGGTGAATCTTACTGGTCTTGGGGGCTTCACCAAGACAAAATATAAAATTAAATGATTAATAAATTATTTTGAGGTTATAAAGTTTCCTATTTTTTTTAGTGTACCCTGCTTTATTCAGGCATGTGGTGATACACATGTTACATTTCAGAGGTTTGTTATCCACTTGACATTGTGTTGAAGGAATGTATCTAGATTACACTTCTAAACAATTCATCTAATTCATTAATATTTCTACAGAAAAATAAGGTAAACACCTAATTTTGGGTATGAGTACTGATTTGGGCTATTTTTGTAGAATTCTAAATAAACATGCTTCTTGGCTTGTGGTTGTTGATGTACTATTCAGATTTTAAATTGGAAAAGAAGCAATAATTATTTGTAAAGTTTCTTAATTTCCAAGAAAGGATCCTTGCCCAGTCTTAGTTGATTAGCAAAGTAAATTCTCTTGTCTTTTTCATCAATACCGAGTATCAGTGCTCTGGGCTACTGTCAAAGCACAATCTTGAGCTCTCTACTACGGCAGAAAGAGAGGGCAGCTATCAAAAACTTAGTTATAGAAGAAAGCTTTTCATAAGTAATACTGATTCTCACTGCTTCTCTACATTGTTTTGGTTTGATCCATAGGTCAAGCCAATCCTTCCAAAGCTGCATAATCAGACTACATGGTTTGGCTCCTGAAAAAGGTACTTAAGAGCATTGCACCATGTCATGCCAACTACTTATATTCAGAGTCGTGTAAGAGACACTTTTATCTTCTCTAGGGACGATGTTGAGTCCACTCGCTCTTATTTCACTATGAGTCAACTTTGGAAAATGAATGAAGTTAATTCTTATTCGGTAAAGACACACCCTACTTCTTCCAAGTGACCCTTTTTATTTATTAACATTATTGTATATCTTATTAATAATCCCACTTCTCTCTTGGCTTTGACTGCTAGAAAGCTTATGAGTGAACTTCCACATGCGTCCTAGAATTTGTACAGGACTTTGTGGTATAAAATTCCTACTGTTATCTTTATTTCATCTGTTTATCAATAAAATTTCCCTTAAATACTTTCTGTAACCTAGTAGAGCATAAAATATAATTTTATGGTAAGTTTCTTTGTATTATATGAATAATATTTTTTCTATTTGCTTTTGAACTTTAACTAGCAATAAAAAATTTTGAGAAGCTGTTGATGGATTAAAATGTTGAATGACATAAGCTTCTTAGCAGGTAAATGTTGAACACTTCTGCTTCATCATCGAGGCAGAATCAGAGGTCATCCATACAGGCAACTGATGGTCTGTTTTCTTGTCTTTTTCCATGACTCTTATCTACTGCCTCACCTTGATTAATAAGCAAAACTGAAAACCTACAAAATGAATGTTTTGTGCTTTATCTAGAAATAATACAGAAAATATTGCTGTTATTTTTGGTGAAGAAAATTTTGTATGGTTTATTTCAATCTAAATAAAATGTGAATTTTGTTTAAAAAAATGTTGAATGCCAAATGGCACGTGGTATTAGTCTTGCTCTTTTAAAAATGAAGAAGTAAAAGATATGAAGAGATTGTATCTGTCACTTAATTAACAAATGAAGGAGAGGGAGGAAATGTGAGTACCAGAAAGTTAAACATTGATGCTTAAACACCACATTACACCACTTCTCGTGAGCAGAGAAATTTTGAAAGATTTTCCTTCTCAGGTACCTCTTCCAAAGGTGGGTAAAGAAACAGGAGAAGAAATACAATTAAATTAAATTTAGATTTGCAGTAGAATAGAACATTTTCTCAGAATTAAGATATAATTTTCCATATTTCTAAATAGAATTGTTTTAAAATGTGTATTTTTCTCTTTTAAAAAATCAGAATAATAAAATATGAATAGAATGTCTACAATGGAATTATAGCTACAAATTGGAATATCATCACAGAATTCTAAAAGGACATATTTTTGAATTTGAAGGTTTATGTTTACTTAGATCTTAAACTGAAGAAGCAGTAATTTTTATTTGTAAATCTGATATTCTCATGGAATTATAAGACATCTTTCCTGTCTATGTTTCTTCTTAAGCAGTATTAGTCAAACACATGACTTTAAATATCATCTTCATGGTGATGACTTCCAATTCTATTTTTCCAATATGGATATTCCTTCTCAGTTCCAGAGACGTATACCACATTAACTTTGACCCAGCTCTTTGATAACTAATTGTATCTCAAACCAAGTTCTATGTTAACAACAAGAACCCTTGCTTTTTCCTCAATGAGCTTCTCTCTATAATGAACTTCTCTCTCAAACTTTACAGTTTCAGTCAGCAGTATCCTTGTGTACATGGTTATTGGGCCAAAACTCTTGATTCTTCTCTTCCCCTCATATCCTTCTTCAAATCCCCTGGTAACCCTTGTTGGCTCTGCCTCCTCAAAATATCACAAATTCAGCCACTTCGTCATCGCAGCTGCTACCTCATGAGTTCACCATCTACACAGCCATCATCACCTGGACTGTTACAATATCTGCCTAAGTCATCCTTCACCTCCACTCTTGCCCTGTCTTTCCTTCAAAGACAAATTGTGACACTCTATCAAGGAAAATCCCTCCAGGGTCTTCCCACTGCTCTCACTGTCAATCAGACTCTCCTTAACTAACTTTGTCTACGTCCTCAAACTCATCTGCCTTCATTCATCATTTGCTTGTTTCCAGCCTTATTTCTTGACTTTCTCTTGTTTAAACATGCCAAGCATTTATCATTGCTTCTGTCCAACATGGATCTCCTACCAGATCTTTTCATGACTCCTTCTTTATCCTTCTTAGGGTGAGAAGCCTTTTCTGACAACACCCTTTAAAATTTGTACACAGATGAATGGCTTTGTTAATCTTGCTCACTACCATATCACCGCTTCCTGACTAATGGAAGCCTAGTATTAACACTAGAATATAAATTGAGGTTGCAGCAGGAATTATTTTTAACCTATGTAAACTATTTGACATATATATCTACAAAAATCATTATCACTGAATGCCAAATTACATAATTTACTGTATTTATGTGTTTGCTTTTTTGTAGCTTTGTGTCCTGATGTTATGTTAATTTTATGGTAAGAGAAGTAATGTTTTCTTATAGGAAATATTCAAATTGTTCAGGGACCTTCAGAGATGCTATAATCATGGAGATCAGCAGACAGGATTTGAATGAAAATATATGATACTAATTTATACAGTAAATTATGTTGTCATTTCATCCAAAAGTTGGGTCATCAAGATAGGTAGAAATAAAAATACCTGTTTCCTATGCATAGCCTGATCTTTTACTCTGCATCATTGAGGTAGACACCACCAGAAGCTTCCAATAAAATGTATCCTTTCTACTGACCATATTTAAGTAACAGACTTAAAAATAAAAATAAATACCTTACATATCCCCAAAGGTCACTTGGTCCAACTAATTGATCAGACACCAAATATGTGTTATGTGAAGATGAAATAAAATAATCATTTAATGGATAAGTCATGTCTTGATAAACTTTTGTACACTCCTGTTTGAATAGTAGACATTCAGATGAATATATGTATCTTGTAAACCCTTCAAGTGATATCTGATGTGCTTTCTTGACTAGAAAAAATAAAATTAAAAGAATGCAGAAATATCATTAGTAAATAAATCATATCTCACCTGAAGATTTAGTAGTAAATTTCTAAAACAATCATTTAGAATTAATATTATTTATAATTTGTCTTTGGAAACAAATTTTTCAATTGAATACCTTTAGTTCTTCCACATCTACGTTCCAAAAAATATCATTTTATTATCTCTGATTTTTTTCATTTTAAAAATACAAGCATCCCAAATCAATGAAATTCCTCAAGCTATCCATCTGATTAACAGGCACCAAGATAAACAGAACATTAAAGCTCCTCTCCTCAGAAGCCTCTCTTAGTAACTTACAAGTCTCTGCCCTGCCCACGAGTATGTATTGGTCTGGCTGCTAGGAGTGTAGGTTAGTTTTCTCCAGCTTTAGTACTTTACACAGACACTCACACAGTATGCATTTTTAATGCCTGATTTCCTTTCCTGCATGCTATGTTTCTCTTTTTTTGTTGTTGTTGGTTTTTTTGTTTTGTTTTTTGGTACCAGGGATTGAACTCTGGACCTTGCTCTTGGGAAGCAGGTGGCTGAACCACTGAACTAAATCCCTGGCTAGCACACTATGTTTCTGAGATTTATTCTTATAGTTGTATGTAGTTATGCATGGTGTATTTCCATTGCTATATAGTATTCTGTTGTTAAAGCATGGTATAGTTTATCCATTCTATTGAGCATTTAGATATTTTACTCTGTGGGACTAACACAAATGGTGTAACTATAAACAACCAGTACATATATTTTGGTGCAAATATGTATATATTTCTGTTCCGTGCATGTCTATGACTGCAATTGCTGGGATTTGAATATGATCATCTTTAGTAAATGATCTCTGAATATTTTTACCCAATATAACACATACTAAACTTATTGACTTAAGCAAAATATTGGCTCTGAAACCAACAGTCTTGTTTCAAATCGATTTACATGTTATATGACCTTAAAATTTTAGCTGTCTTCTCCAGGTCTATTAAATGGAAATAGCCTGAGAACCTACCCCTATATTTTAGCCCTATAAATGTGAGTTGCTGTTGTTGCTACTGCTAGTTAAATTACACTCAAAAGAAAAGCTGAATGCATATTCATTTTAGAGTAGAGTGTAATCCTTGGATAAGAATTTTATTTCTAGGAATTTATCCTGCAGAAACAGAAACTCAGAAAAAGACTGATGTCCAAGTATGCTCACATTAGTATTGTTTAGAAAAACAAAATAAATAGGTGTAAGAGGCAAATTAAAGTTCAAAATATGGCATAGTACTAAGGAGCCATTAAAAATGTGTCCTAAAAACATAGTGTCATAAGTAAATGTTTGTGACATCATTAAAGCCAAAAAGCCAGCATTCAAATGCTATTACTATTTTGATTTAAAAATAAAAGCTAGAAAAACGCGTTAAAAATGTTTATAGGCAAACAGATCTTCTATTTCAAAACCATGTGAATTTAGGAATATGGGAGCACGTGGAAAAAACACACCATGTACAGTAACAGTGATGATTTGCATTAATTTATTCTTTTTCCCTGTGCAAGTAGTAGTCATTGGTTTATGTATATATGTTTTCTAATAGAGTGGAAAAGAAAATAATTTTTGTGACCTTCAAAAGCATGAGATTGAAATGAGGACGAATCTCATGGATTTTTTTAAAATGTCACTTGTACATATTACATACCAATGTCAGATGAGACTGAGGATCCTGGTAGCATTTGGGACTATAAAGTTGTAATTCGAATTGGTTTTAATAAGACTAAAATGATCAAGGATCATATAAATGAAATGCAAGGTCTTGGCTGTGTGTGAGAGATTCCATAGCAAGTGAAAGCTCAACAGGAGAAATGGACGAACAATGTAATGTTGTACTAAGAATGCAAACACAATTCCAAGGTGTCAGCGCTACTATAGCAATATTCCTTTGTATCATTTAATTGACCACTCAATGGTAACAGGGCCAATGTCTTTATTTTAATATTCACTAGATTAGTGGTACTGAAAGTGCTCATCTGTAAAGACGATTGTTTCTAGGGTGCAATTACACAGAAGCTTCAGCTAGACTATAAATGAACTCTCTACTTCCTTAGAGAAAAATTCATTAAGAAATCAAGTGAACTTCTCAGGTATACTTTGTAATATAGTTGCTTTCCATTCTGGTACCAGCTCTGTCTTGCTGCAAATCTGCAAAAGTTCAATGGTGCTCAGACCAAACTGTACCTAGCAGTGCACTCAGTCATGTTACTACAGTGCTTACAACTGTCCAAAATCTTTTCATAACCCTGTCATGAAGCCAAAATCTTATTTCTGGCCTACAAGATTCTACATGGTTTGTTATCTGCTTATCTCACCAAATTCACTTGTCCCCCTGTGTTAGTTACTTTTCTATCATTGCTGAGACAAAACACTCAGCACCAAAATTTAAAGGGGAAGGTGTTTATTGGCTTACAGTTTGTAGAGGTATCAATCCATAATCAGCCAACTCCAAGGCTAGGATGACAAACAGGCATGGCAGAGCAGAAACAACATGGCACGCACAAGGGAGCAAAAGCAACAAGGGACCTTTACTGAGTCTTTCTGCCTCTTTTATTCCATCCAGATTACCAGCATCATGGTGGTGACAAACTAATCACTCACATATAGTGGTTTCATAATCTCATGCCCTTAACCCCAGCATCACACATTCCTGATTCAACGACCTCCGAAAAAGAAAGTCTCACCTCATCTGCATGAGGCTTTAGGGGTCCATCTAAACACAAACCATAACATCCTCATTCTCCAAGTTCTAACCACACTGTCCTTTTTCTGTTCCTTGAATTTTTCAACTCAGGTCCAATTCATCTCTCCCTGGACCTCCGACATTTCTCCCATTTGGTCACACAACTTGTTCTTTCTTGTCATTTAAGTCTCAACTCTGAGGTCACACCCTCAGAGAGGATTCTCCTAAACACTCAACCTGAACATTTACTCTGTTACCTTCTCTGTTTTATTTTTATATAGCACTTAGCACTCTCTTAAATTGCTCTTTTATATGCTTAATTATTTATGTCAATCTCCTTGTGTCCCTCACAAGGACTATGACCCAGCTGCCTGGTTCTTCACTGTATCCTAGACCCTAGAACTATACTTGGTTATCACAAGTAACTACTTGGATATTTACAAACCTATGATTCAATGAAGGAATATGTTTGGTTTCTGTAGAACTGATATGACCATATGTTAAACATGGGAGCCTAAATCAACTTTTGAAGGCAGTCCTTGGATTTGTATTCCTTCTTTGTTAAGCAAATATTTGGAGCATTTTGTCAGTTAATTTCTTTGATGTTAATCATTGTGCTTCAACAATATTTTTTATACAAATATGTAAATATTTTATTAGATTGCCTTTGTTATTTAGAAATGGCCATAAATGAAATGTTTTACACATTGAAAGATAGAGCAAAGATTCCAAATTACTAGATGATCATTAGCCTAAATGGTCATTTACTTTAAACAAAATGACTATGTATTTTAAAATGAAGGAAATTCGGGCTGGGGGTGTAGCTCAATGGTACAGTGTTTGCCTAGCACTCAGAAAGCCCTGTGTTTAATCTCCAGCACAGCAAAGAGACAAAAAGAGAGACAGAGAGAAAGATAGGGAGAGAGACGAAAAATGAAGGAACATCAAATGTGCTATTATTGCACAATATACTGATTATAGATAAAAATAATTTACTGTACAGCTCAAAAAGCTAGAAGAAAGGAATTTGAAAGTTTTCAACATAAAGAAATGATAAATGGTACATTTTAGGTATACAATATAGGACATTCATCATTGGAAATTTGTACCTTTACATAATAAAATTAATTTAAAAAAACAAAAAAAATGTATAATCAGATAATGTGAAATATGAAGAAAAGGTGCAAAGGGGAAGGGGAAGTGGGAAGGGTAGGGGAAAGGAAAGAAGGGAATGGAATTAACCTGAGAAAATGGAAACAAAGACTTTGTAAATAGGGAAGGGTAGAGGTGTTCAAGGGAGGGCAGGATATGGGGAAAAATATAAATCAAGATACATCATGTAAAGGTACAAATCTCCAATGGTGAAAGTCATTATATTATATACCTAAAATGTACCAATAAAATTTTTTAAAAAAAGAAATGATAAATGTTTGAGGAGATAAATGCTTAACCTGTTTTAAACATCACACAGTGCATATGTGTACCAGGCATTACATCATACGCCATTAATATGTACAACTTTTATATTTTATGTATCAGCTAAAAATAAACTAAAACATAAAAATAAGTTTTTTAAAAAGAAGGAAAGTAAAAAAAACATTTTTGAAATGTTGTAACTGTGGCTTGGATCTTAATGTCCTCCAACAGTCTGGGAAGTGATGAAAACTAAAAGGTGGGGCCTTGTTGGAGATCTTAAGCCATTGGGAATGTGCCCTTCAATGGGATATTGGGACCTCACCTCTCCTCTTCCTCTCTCTCTTTGGCTTCCCAACTCCAACTCCATGAAGTGAGCAGCTTCCTCCTTCCCCACGCCTGCCATGATATGCTGCCTTATCACTGCCCCAAAGCAATTGGACCTATCATCACAGACTGAAACCACCAAAACTGTGAAGTAAATCTTTCCTCTTTAAGCTTATTATCGCAAGTATTTGTTACAGTAACAAAAAGAAAGCTGACATACAGTTGTGGGCAATCGATTGTATAAAGGGAAAATTAGTGATTTTGTAATTCTTTTCCTTCCTAGATTTGTTTTCACTTAGCTCATTTAATTTTCATCTACATTTGAAACACCTTAATCCATAAAAATAGAAAACTGCCTATAACTGAGTTCTTATCTTATTCATGAGATCAAGACACATTTTCCTAATGGGATATAGGTAACAGAATCCTGAGCTTACTTTCACACCTAATTCAATTCTTGACACTTAGAGTCACATGGAAACAGAGAGCTAGACAGTAAAATAAGAATGTCATGATTACACATTACATCTTTCTAAAAGGTTTACATACTTTTGCACAAAATACAAAAATAACATGTCATTCTTTCATTTATTTTGCTCAGAATAAAGTTGACCAATTCAAAATTTAAATCTGCTAACCATAATTCATAAAAAATACTGTGTGTATAACAATTCTGCTAAAACTTTGAAAGGTAAACATACCTTCATCAATGGGCTCATATTTCTGAATAATCTCAGAAGCAATACTTTCAGTTGTCTCAATTTCATATTGTTCTTGTGTTAGAAATTGAATCAAATTACTTTCAAAAAGAATTCTCCGGTTTTCAGAATACACATTGAAAATCTCAACAATTTCTTCTCTGTGTGCAATGATCCGATAAATTGATCTAAATTCTTCTATTGTGATTTTTCCTTGTTTCTGTCTGTCATTATCCTACTTAAAAAAAAAAATGACTGGTAGGCTCACAATGTGAGTATCAAAAATGCACAAAATGAATTTTAGCATATTCATGCAATATGTATATAGGAATTCATACTTTAAAATGAAACTTATGCTGGTACTTATTAAAGATAAACATATAAAACTGCAAGGAATGATGCTAAAATTAGGAAAAGGTTAGTATATTATCACCTCTTAAAATGCAGTGACCACAGTGAGTATAGAAAAGGATATGGAAGAAAAAGAGGATTCCAGTTTGTCTTTCAAGTACATATTTCCTTTTCTATTTTACTCCACTTCAGTACCTTCCAAAAATGTGGAGCCTGAACCATAAAAATTTCAGAGTCAATCAGAGATATCAAAGGTCAATAGAAATGGTGGAAGCTGAAGTACTCATGTATTAATACATTGAAAAAGTGGAATCTGGGTAGTTGTAAAGTTTGGGGCAAGGGGGAAAAATGTCCTACTAAGGAAGAGTAGATTCACCTGGCTAGCGTGGAGAAGTCATATTTAAATGTTTAAAATGAAAGGTAAGAATGCAGACTGGACTCAGTTATCAGAAGGAACAGAAACACTGTAAAGCCCTGAGTCAAAAATGACTAGCAAAAGTAGAAGCTTAGTATGATTTGTTGTCCCTTAGCAACTGAAAAAAATGGGAAACTGTCATAAGACAGCAGAAAAGATGCAATTCAGGTGAGAGGTGATAAATAAACACTAAAGAAAACATGTCAGTGAAATAATGAAGGAGTGCGTCAGAAGGATTCCACGCATTAGAGTGTTAGACACATGAGAGAATTCAGAAAGAACTACATTGGAGAAAGTCAGAACTACAATAAGAGAAATACAAAATCACCAACAAATAAAAAACTGGGGAATAGGGAGTTCAATGGAGAAAGAGGTTTCGTAGTTTTTTAAAGTCATTTAATAAACATCTTAATTCTCTCATTATGTTATAAACACATCAAATAAAAATGCACGTGCTAAAGGGTCATTGTGTCATGGCAAAAAGCTGACAGAATGGGTAGACAGAGATGATATTATATCCCAAACTCCAAGGTGTGTGGAGCTTTAAACATATAAATGAAACTTTCTGCACTTCATATTTGATAACTACAAAACAGGAATAGATAAAAGCATCTATGTCCCCAGACAACTACGAGAATTGGAAATATACAGTAAATAATAGTTGTAAATATCAGTGTGTATGTATTGTCTTTGCCTCACTTGCAGTGTCCAGCCTAGTAGCTCTCAAAACTTTTCCTATGCAGCATACAACACTGTAGAATCCCTAGAATATAACAGGAAATGATCTCTTAATTTCATAAGGAAAATATCCAAGTAATTACCAGAAAAAACATTATATCAGTAGATCCCAGAAGCAATCTGAGCTGGGAGCCAAATATGAAGAGCACTAAGTTCAAAGAGAAACACTGATCATGCATTGTTAGTAGCAACTTGAAGAAGCAGGCCTAGAATAAAGTGCCAAGTGGGAATGAGACGGGAATATGTTTTAGAAGAAACCTTGGGTTTGTGCTTGAGATATTGGGTCTCACATCAGATACTGGGTCTCCAAAATGCTCTAAACAATAATAGCACCTTGTCACTGTTGCTCCTGACTTGCCAATTTCATCAGATTAAGAAATGCCTAGCAGATTAGCAAAGCTCACTGCTGGTGTGTCTGGGTGGGTCATGGAGGTATTATGCATGATCCGTTGGTCATTTCTCTCTGCTACCGTTCCCATTCTCTGCTTCCTGGCTGCCATAAACCATTCCACCAAGACTTTTCTGTCTTGGAGTCAACCAATCATGCACTGAATCTCTTGAAACCAAGAAATAAATTAATGTTTTCCATCTTTATGTTGTGGGTGGGTTGTCCCATGTTATGTTTCAGTGATGGGAAAGCTGACTAATGCATACTTTAAAATTATACAATCTTAAAATAATGCACCTTATCAATTATATATAATCAGGGTTGTGTCATGGAAGATGGGAAGATCTAAGTAGGAAAAGGAATGTAACAAGGAGTAAGTCATGATGGAAAAGACAGGACACAGTGAACAGAGTAATGACTTGGGGAAGCAGGAAGATGAAAAGCAAGGAGCAAGAAAGGTTCAAGAATGAGGACTGAGGCACAAAATAACAGCTGTAACTTAGAGTACTGATACATTACTATGTTCCCCAAATCCACAGGGATAGAAAACCAAAAATATGAACTAACTTCAAAAGCACAGGGAACAATAGAAAGTCCATACACCCTATACAAGTCCACAGTGCATATGCAGAAATAATTTCTGTGTAATGCAGAGCTAAACATTCCAACTCCCTCTTAAACTTCTCACTGAATTTTCCTTGCCTTCAGAACTAAACCCGACCTATACTGTGTGGAATCTAAGTTTCTTTAAAGTGTCACTGGTGGTTTCTGCTCCTATCCTTTCCCTCTTTGCATCTCCCACTTAGGTTGTACTGAATTTGTTACGCTAAGCAACCTTCTGTTATGGCTCATGCCATTCTTTCTTCTGGAACATGCTTCTTTTTCTTTTTAACTGCTTAGTGTCTACTCATTCTTGAGAGTGTTCCCTCCTCTAGAAGCCTTCCCTATGTTCCTCTGTAACTGCTCCAAAGGCTGCCTTGACACCTCTTCTCTGGGTTCTCTCTGCATCTTCTTATCACAGAGTTTATTACACTGGAAAGAAAGCCTTTTTCTGTATCCCTTCTAAAATTACTTTGAACAGAGCATTTGTCATTTGTTTCTTGTAGTCCTAGTACTTAAAAGAGTACCTGCCTGAAAATATTGAGAATGTGGTCTATTGCTTGAACACTTTTAGATACACAAATTCTATGAACAGTCTTATCTTTGATGTCCTTAAAGGTGAAAAGAAGCTAATAATAACTTCCTTGAATGTTTGTAAGAATAATGTGTGCAAAACCTAACCAGGGCCTAGAATATGGCAGATATCAAAAATATCATTTATGTGGTTTTGTTGTTCAAGATAGAAAGCTAGGAATCTTTTCTATTTAAGTAGTAGGTGAAGCCATTGTGAGTCAATAATATTCTTATTTTATGTAATCAATTAGATTGTTTAAAAGTAAAATGAAAGGAAATAATGATCTCAACTTTAAGAGAAAAGTAGAAGGGATGGTCACGGGATAAATGGAAAAGTGATAGTCTGTAATTTTAAATGAAAATTAGTAGAAGAGTGACATCATAGATGTCAGGATGGGCAGAATTTTTAAAAAAGAATGTTGAATAAAATACATAGGATAAACAATGGACTTAGCATTCTAGACAGAAAGAGGTTTTCTAGATAAATATAAATGCATATCATATTGCAATGGATCATTGAATAAGTAGAGAAATGAATATAAAGGATTCTTTTAGCTTATCTGAAAGAATGTAACAAAAGAGAATATGGTGCTGTTTATTATACTATATGAGATGTTGTCAAGGTTTAAATTCTAGAGGACAAATGAAGACAGGAAACCAGAAACTTGAAGTGAAACCAAACAGAATATAAGTGACCGAATTGAATCAGTTTGCAAGGTTGAGGGCAGAAATGGTAGAGAAATAAACTACCTCTGCCTGACTTCCAATTCCAATCCATTCTACACTGCTGTCAAATTATTTCTCCTAAAATATACAATATGTTTCTGATCAAAAAGTTTCAATGGCTACCCATTGCCTAAGAAAGAAAATCCAAATTCTATGATCTACTATGCAAATTTTCCATGTCTGACCATACCTGGCATTTGTAGCTACTTCTCAACATTTCCCTACATGCATCCTATATTCCAGTCATGTTTGATTGCTTTTTTAAAATTCTCCAAGAACTATTTGCATCTATTCTACACATATTGACTCTCTCTCTCCTTCTCTCCCTGCCTGCTTCCCTCTTGCCTCCTCCTTCCTTCTCCTCTTCCTCCTCCTTCTTTTCTTCCCCTCTCTCTCTCTATCTCTTTCTCTCCTTCTCTCCTCTTTCTTTTCTCTCTCTCTCCTCCTCTTGCCTCTCCCTCCCCCTCTTCCTTTCCCTCTCTTCTCTCTGTCTCTCCCTCTCTCTCTGAGCTGGTCCTGGGGATTGAACCCAAGGTCTTCACACTAAGCTACATCCTCAACCCTTTTTAAATATTTTTCATATTTAGACAGGTTCTTGCTATGTTGTCTTTCTCATTTTCTAAGGTTCATCAAAAATGCTACCTCCATCATAGCACCTTCTAAGAAAATCCCAGTTAAAGAGTCTCTTTTATCTCAAGTTCCCTGTTAGAATTTTCCATGAGATTGTGACCTATTTATAAAATAGTAATTTTTGCATTCCTTTTTCTTCTAAGAGGTAACTCTTCATTCATTTCTCACAATGTGGAGTGTCTAACAGAGTGCCTTGCACATATCATAGATTTAATAATGGTTTCTTATTGTCTAAAAAATTGAAAGGCTTAAGATCTATTGTAAGAAATTCTTGAAATTAAAAAAGAGACTATTTCATACACAATTAAAGGTATAGTCTAAGGCTACATATATGTATTAGAATGACATAATATTTTCTATAAAATATTTTCAATGCTATAAATTAAGTGCTAGTCTAAGATGCAAGCAATAAAATTTCATTAAAAAATAATTTTTATAAAATTAAAGAATTGCTGCTCGAGCCATGTGTCAATAATTAATCTTGTAGAAAGTAGTTCAGAATATATTGCCAAGATCATAAAGTTATATGTTCTTTACTCAAACTTACATTAAAAAGTCACCTTGAAAGAAAATTAATTCATGTCAGAATTTATGTGAGCTCCTCAGGAAATTAATAAGTATAATACAATTTTCTAGATTTTTGAACAAACTAATGCAGTATTAAGTTTTTGAAATTTTTCTGCTCTACCTTTTGCCTGAATTCTCACTATGAATCTAGACAAAATCAGCCATCAGTACTCATATCACAGCCTGAAGATTTGGCTATCTTGAAATTTCCTCCACCAGATTAATTAGTCCACCACCCTAATCTTAGACTCCTGCAATGTCTCAGGACAAGGGCAAAATATAGACACATTTTCTCCCAGAATGTAAAACACATGGCCCCTAGACTATATGTCAGTGTAGTCCCGGTTCCCAACTGAAACTCCTGAGCCTGACTTGTACTGTCTACATTCCTATCAGTATTCTGGTCTTCTGAATTCTGACCTCAGTCACCCACCTAACTTGCTTATAGCATTCAGGACTTCTCTAGCTGGTATCTCCAAACTACTTCCACACACTAGTCCCAAAGATTTCTCTTTTTTTTTCTTTTATTGGTACATTTTAGGTATACAACACATTTACCTTTCTCAGTAAGAACTTGTACCTGTACATGATGCATCTTGGTTCTTAACTTTTCCCCATTCCTAGCCCTCCTTTCCCTATTTACAAAGACTTTATTTCCCTTTTTTCCATTTCTCATCATTTTTTCCTTTCCCTTCTTTCCTTTCTCCTACCCCTCCCACTACCCCTACGCCTTTGGACCTTTTCTTCCTATTTCACATTATCGATTATTCATTCTAATCATTGGTACATTTTAGCTATACAATATAATGACATTCATCATTGGAAATTTGCACCTTTACATAATCTCTCTTGGTTCTTATTTTTCCCCCTTTCCCTGCCCTCCCTTCAACCCCTCCATCCCTCCCTATTTACAAAGACTTTGTTTCCATTTTTTCATTTTCTCATATTAATTCCATTCCCTTCTTTCCTTTCCCCTACCCCTCCCACTTCCCCTTCCCCTTTGCCCCTTTTCTTCCTATTTCACATTATCAATTATACCTTTTAGTCCTTATTTCCACTTTCAGTTTCTCACACTAGAGAAACTATTCAGTATTTATACATGTGTGTCCTATTTATTTCACTTAAGAGTATCACCTCAATGTGCATATGATCAGGGATAATCATACTACTGATCCTATTTCTCCATTACAAATTTTTTATATTAGTTAGCTTTCTCATTACTGAGATACAATACCTGATACCCACAACTGAAAGGAATAGAAGTTTAATTTTGCTCAGTTTTGGGGTATTCAGTCCATGGTTAGCTGATTCCAAGACAAGAACATTATGGCAAAAATGAATAGCACAGCAAAGCTGCTTAGCTCATGGCGGCCAGAAAGCAGAGCAGGGGAAAAGTGCCAGAGAAGAAAGGGAGAGGGACCAGACATAGACTCCCTGAGACCACACATCCATAACCCACCCAGACAAAATCATAAGGATGCTTTCCTAATCTCCACAATACATCCCAAAGCTAATCAAGTTGATACTGCACCCTAGTCACTAGATATGCCTTCTATAAACAATTTACATCGAATCTACTTTGCATTTAATCATTTAAATGTTTTGACATACAACAATCCTAGATCAGATATGAGAATTCCTTCATATTCAGGAAGTTGTGTTAAACCAATAGACTAGTAGTATTTCAAACTTTATCAGCAACCAACTTTACCTCCTCCCTAAATATCTTTAAATTGACCATAAATATTATTAGCATAATGAATTCATTTTATTCTTAAGAGACTGATTTCTCATATGTATTTTGTACAAAAAGCATCAAGTAGTCATTAATGTTTATTTATATTAGATTAAGTGCTTCTTAGGGTGGGATAGGCAGGGGGTGGATGTCATCTCACCTTAAAAATATGTTTCACATGAACATAATTGCACTGAATATCTAATTTTTCAAGTAATTTATATGTTCTTTCTACGTTAATTTTTCCACCTCTAAATTCATCCTGAATCTTTGAGAAAAACCATGTAAGAAGCATAAAAATGTTAAGGAAATTCTCAGAGAAAGTCATCAAATATTCAAAATTCTTGAAGAAATATTTTATCTTTGGTTTACCTGTACTTTTAATTTTAAAGGATAACCCATATTGTATTTAAACAAATAGCAAAATAATTGTGTAATAGGTAGTATTTAAAACAAACATAGATAACTACTATTCTTTAGTAAAGATATAAAAAAGTACAACTCAAAAACATACAGGAAAAGAGTAAAGATTAAAAGTTGAGAAATAAAGTAATTACTTGGCAGATTCATTCAAACATTATTACAGTGTTTTGTGAGTCCTGAGGGCTTGAGAGGCAGCTGCACTCCAAGATCCCCCTCACCTGTTCCCTCTCATCCTTGAGGGTGGGGAAATCAGTACTGAATCTTATGGAATGGGGAAGCATTAAATAAGTTCATAATATGTCATTCAGTGCAGTTCCTGCTACTGAGTGTTCCATAAATAACAGCCATGATTGATATTATTACTACATTTTGTTAACTGTCCTGTTATATTCATGCCCCCACAAGCAACATTTTGAATATCAAAAAGAGTTCAGAATATCATACATGTGCACATTTGGTAAGAGAAAAAACCAAAGTAATGTATATTTACATATACAGATCATTTACAAAAATTAGAGCATTTCAATTTGAAAAACTAAAGTGGAAATGAAATAATACAACAATGTATAAAATCATGAAAGCTATAGGTGAAAGGGTTCACAATTCCACTCAATTTCAGATTGTTAGAATGAATAAGAAGACTTTAAATTTAATAGCCATGACTAAATGTTGCAAAACTCATATTCTTATAGGAAAAAGAAAGAGGAGTGAAAGGAAATCCAGAAAAATCTCAGGACAGATATGGAAGAAAGCTGAAATTTAACACTTAAATCAAAGACATTTAAATTCACGTCTTCCAAAGAAAATGAGAAGAGTAACATAAAAAGGGTGAACCATTTGACTGCCATGGCGCAGGCCTATAATCCCAGCATTCTGGGAGGCTAAGTTAGGAGGATTACAAGTTTGAACCCAGCCTGGGCAATTTAGTGAGACCTTGTCTCAGAATGCAAACTAAAGATGTAGCTCAGTGGTACAGCACCCATAGGTTCAATCCCCAGTACTGTACCCCTCCCCCCAAAACACAAAGAGAGAGAGAGAAGGAAAAGAAGGAAAGAGAAAAGGGAACAGAAAAACCCTTCCAAATGGATATCTCATTTCATTCTTTTCATGACCTGTCAGTGCCATTTCATCATTTCTCCTCTCTTAGGAGTCTCTGCTGGGATGGGCATGGGTTTCCACAAGCTCCAAATATAACTAGTTCTGCTGCTTTGTGTGGGAAAGGAATTTCTTCATACTCATTGGCTGTTGTCACTGTCACCACTTTTCTATGGAGAAAGCAGAGAACACAGTTTTTTGCCTTGTTCTTTGAAACTAACACACTTAAATCTTACAAAAACATCATGTAAGACATGGGCCCAGCAGGATCCTTCCCAAAACTTTTGGCTTCTTGTTTATATTCTGTTCATTTTCAAACCCACTAGGTTTATAAATGCAGCATTTCTTGCTGTCTAGCATTTTTTCATGAACTACCTTTTTTATGTTGTTTTATTTTTACTCTTTTCTTGAAACCCCTCAAACCTTTCATCACAATGTGCTTCCATCTACTCGAGCAGCTATTCTAAGGGCCCGAGTACAAGTCAATGCCATTGTAATTGCTGGAGGGGTAACATGTTACCAAACACTCTGTAGAAACCCTCAGCTACGTCTCTAGATCCCAAACAACACACAACACACACAGAGACACACCACTTTGGAAGAAGCCTTCAGGAGTGCATGTTCTTAAAAATCTTCAACACTGGTATCACACTGGTTGGCTGGGCACCACGCTGTTAGGTGGCTGTCATTTTTTTCTTTGGGTCTGAACTCTCATTGTGATATCATCAAACGTTCTATGCTTCACAAACAAGCTTTCTCTGTGACTTCACCAGGAGACTTAAAGCTTGCCAAGCCACCTGTTTTCATGGTCGGACATAGTAATCTTAAACTTGACTGATTAACACCTTGATGGACAGCGTCTCTCATGGAATGTTTTCTTAGCTTTTGAAGACTCTACTTCAGAAGCTCTGCTTCTGCAACACCCAAACATGGCACTTAGTGTTCTGAGTCAGAAAGAGAAAGAAAAAGTCATTCGCAGACTCTTAATACAGGCCCCACCGGGGGAATTTGTAAATGCCTTTGATGATCTCTGTCTGCTTATCCATGATGAAAAACTTATGCACCATCAAGGTGAGTGCGCAGGCCACCAGCACTGCCAAAAATATTGTGTACCACTCTGCATCGATGGGAATCCGGTACTCTTGTCTCACCACAATGTAATGGGTGATTACCGATTTTTTGACCATCACAGCAAACTTTCTTTCAAATTTGACCTGCTTCAAAATCAGTTGAAAGACATTAAGAGTCATGGTATTATTCGGAACGAGACAGAACACCTGAGAGCTGTTGTCCTATGTGCCATAAAACTGTACGTGAATGATCACTATCCAGCTGGAAATTGCAATGTACTGAGAAAAACTATCAAAAATAAAGAATTCTTGATAGCATGCATCGAGGATCACAACTATGAAACAGGAGAATGCTGGAATGGTCTTTGGAAATCTAAATGGATTTTCCAAGTGAATCCATTTCTAACCCTAGTAAGAGGAAGTATCTTTGTGCAAGCTCACTTCTTCCGGTGTGTCAACCTTCATATTGAAATCTCCAAAGACGTTAAAGAAACCTTAGAAGTCATTAACCAAGCTCAACTGGCTCTAAGTTTTGCAAGGCTCGTGGAAGAGCAAGAGAATAAATTTCAAGCTGCCGTCTGTGAAGAATTACAGGAGTTATCCAATGAAGTCCTGAAAAAAATTCTACGAAGGGATCTTCCAGTGACCCGCACTCTCATTGACTGGCAGAGGATTCTCTCTGACTTAAACCTGGTGATGTACCCTAAGTTAGGATATGTCATTTACTCAAGAAGTGTGATGTGTAACTGGATAATATAAAGGATTTCTTCTGACAATTGTCTTGATCTGACACGGTTGTGTTTCTGGTGCGTGGTTCTTTTCCTAAAGTTAGGCAAGCCATAGAGATGCTTATTACTAGTTCCATTTGCGTTTACATAGGAAAAGTATAAGAAGTAACTTTACTCAGACAGTACATACTAAATGGCAAAAAGGGTAGAGTAAATTTATATTTCATAGTGCTGATGGTCATAAAGGCAGAGAAATTGATTAGAACCTAAAATAGTTTTGCAATACACAATACTCCAAAAATATTATACACATGCCCAGGATCAAGATCATGTGTGTGTGCATGTGAGTGTGTGTCTGTGTGTGTGTGTGTGTGAATTTTTACTTTCTTTGGAACTGGGATACAAATAACATTATGCAAATAACATTACACTGCAAATGGTATTTCACATAATTCCATTCAGTCCTAGACCAATTCTGAAAGGATAGATTTCAATAAATGATGTTGGGTTTAGATGGTCCATGAAAGAAACTGATATCAAAAATCTTACTCTGATGAAGGACTATTAGTAAACTTGGTTTCACTATTTTACCCTACAGCTTCCTCAACTCCCCACTCACTCACCCACCCAACCATACCAAGAATTTGGGATTACCCTAAATCCCTGGGTTTATCTAATTACCAGTATGGTCTTCCAAGTCAACTAGAAAAGTCTTACCTCCCGCCTTACATAGTCAAGCTCTTGGAATTCATCACTCCAAACACTTCTAAGTATTTCCTTCATAACATGTTTTGTGCTAAATGCATTGTATACATCTTTTCAGTGTTAGTCTGGTTCCAGAACTGTGTTATCTCCAATTTACATAAGAAGAACCTAAGTATTTCAGTTGCTGGACTCATCCAGGCAGCTTAGTGTCTTATGTTGTTAGTGCTGGTATCGTAAAATACCATAAACCAGGCAGTTTATAAACAACAGAAATTTATTGCTCACAGTTCTGGAGGCTGGGAAATCCATAATCAAAGTGCCAGCAAACTCGGTGTCTTTTGAAGGGCCTGCTTCCTTAAAGATGCTTTCTCATTGTGTCACCCCATTGTGGAAGGGGCAAGGTCTCTGTGGTCTCTTCTGTAAGGTACTAATTCCATTCATAAAAACTATGACCTCGTGACCTCCCAAAGGCCCCACCTCCTAATACCAGCACCTCATTAGGATTAAGTCCAACACTCAGACCACAGCACACAGTGACAGGGGAATGCTTTAGTTTGAATGCCCTGGGGTATCACAGCTCACCATGGAGGTCTGTCATTGAGAAGAGTGACCTCTGCCAGATAGTGGGTTAGGTAAGCATCTTATCTAAGGGATTCCTCAAAAGAAACAGGACTGATTGTCTTGTTTTCAAGCCGACAAGTTACCTATAACACCTTCCTGCCACTCTTTTTTTTCCCCCAGTATCAGGGATAGACCTCAGGACCTTGCACTTGCAAGGCAGGTAAGGCACCACGGAGCTAAATTCCCCAGCCTGTCATACCACTCTTCCCAGCACTGTTACCTATGGTGTTGGCTCTTTCAGTGAATTGCAAATGTAAAACTCTAACAAGATGATGAGAGAGCAGTGGCTAGTCCCCACCCTCCAATTCTGATTCAGCTGGGAAGCCAAGTACTTTGTATTTATGAAAATTTTGAAACGCTCTAATTCTGCTTAATAAACATTGGAGCAGGCAAGATCCTTTGCAAGAATTTTTCTTTTCTTCAACTACTGATTCTTGGAGAACCTCAAGAGAATTATGTGGGGTGTATCTTTTAAAATACAAATAACTGGGGCCCATGCTCAGATTCTGACTTAGTAGATTGGGCTTTTGTTGTTTTTCTTTTCTTTTCTTTTCTTTTCTTTTCTTTTTTCTTTTCTTTTCTTTTCTGGTGCTGAGGATCAAACCCAGAACCTCTTCCTGGTTAGTCAAGCACTCTACCACTGAACTACACCACTAGGCCAGGATATCCACATTTTTAACAAGTATCTGAGATGACCCTGATATAAAGGATATAAGTGACATTTTAAGAAATTTTGTCCTAATCTTAAAATAGCATATCTTTGTTTTCTATTTACTTAAAATCATTTCCCACAAAACCATTACTCTTAAAAGCCACTGGTACTGGGCCAGGGATTTAGCTCAGTGGTGCCATCGCCTGCCTCGCCAGTACAAGGTCCCAAGTTTGATTCCCAGTACCAAAAAAAGAGAGAAGCTATTGGTACTTACTTGCTGAATTCACTGTGCATGGACCAGATAGGTTTTCATCTGTACAAAACTCCTTAAGTACAAAAATTTAATTATTTATATGTTAGATGCACTGCAGATGCACTATAACAATTCATTTCTCTCTTCATATATAATTTAAATTTTTAGCATATTATAAATTATGCTATAGTGAACATATATTTGCTCACATTGTGGATTATTTCCCTAAAGATAAGTTCCTCAAAGTTGCATATTGAAAAGACATGAAGATATTAATGCTCTTACTACACAGTTACAGACTGCTTCCCAAAAAGATTTTTAACAAATTTATAATCCCTTCAATAGCATTAAGAGACTGTCTGGCTCACCGCAGTAATCTTTATAACATTAAATATCAATTTTTTTCTTAAATCAACAATAAGCAAACCTTAAAACAATACAAAACAAAAAAATTTTTTCATTAACTTGTATCACATTATACCAAACACATTCCTACAAGAACATTGTGTGGTAATTATTTTCTTTATATGGAGACTGGTACACGCAGAACAATGAAGTTATTTCTTTTCCCCGCACAAACACACACATGCACAAACACACAAACCCTTAGGTCTACACTATGAATACATGTGTACACACAGAGACATAAAAGATAATTCAGATCTTGAGTCAATGTGATATAATAAATACAAAGTTCCAATTTAAAAAAATATTCTAGGGGTTTCTCCCCCCAATTTCACTCCCAGCTAGAATGAATGTAAGCTCATCAGAAAGGCACTTTTTCTATCCCAAGTACCTAGTCCCAGCACCGTCTGTCATACAGTAAGTACTCAATGGTAGGTGGCAAGAACAAGGGAAAAAACAAAGGAAAGCAAGGTAGGAGAAAAAGATGGAGGGGAGAGAAGAAAAAGGATAACAAAGATATGAATGAAGAAGCATGATAGCTTTAGCTGGCCTTAAGACTTTATGAACCACCAATCCCTGCTGTCCTTAGGAACTATGAATTCCACTCCCATTCCCGGGGCTACCGTAGTCAACACTACAAGATTGCTGGTTCCACTGGTCTCTTTCTGCTCTGATGAACACTTTTGTACTTTTCTCCAAACGAAATGTGTTCTCCAACAATTTTAAGAAAATCAAGTTCTTCAATAAATATATTTGTTTCAATTCTCTACCAAAGATTTTCTACCGTTTCCCTTGGGGATTGTTCCAAACAGCTAACTGAATGACCATATCATATGCTACTCAAGCAGAGGTTCAGGAGAGGCATGACATCTTTCCACTCTCCCTATGCCAGGCTGAGTCCCTGCTGTTCTGGGACATTCCCTAGCTTCGTGCTTTCCTTGCGGTTAAAGCAGGCTTCGCCTATTGTTCTGTATTTGAAACGTCATCCTAAGGTGCAAGACCCAGGTGATCTCTTCTACATACCCTGTGGATCTGGGAATGCACAGAGCTCCTATTCAAGTCTTTGGATGTTCCAAAGTTTATAAAGGCCTTATCTATCTACACTGGATTACATTTTTGGAGAACAATATGAAAGTGTTTCCAGTTCACTGTCACTCAGCCCATGTGTGGCTGTGTTATTGACTTATGTTGCTTTCTCGATCTTCTCATCATGGTACACCTTTTAAGATTCTGGACGTTTTACTCAGGTAACACTATTTTTACAGTACGATTTTTTCCTAAATGCTAGTGAAATTTATCCCCACTCTCAGTTACTGTTTTCTCTCTCGGTGATCAATTTATTCATTTCTATTAACACCAGTAGGTTTTCTGATGATGTGATTTGAACTTTTTCTACTGCATTTAAGCTCAGTTTTTTATCAGTGCTTCATATAGAAAATTACTTCATTTCTTCACTAAGAAGTCACATACTTTAAAAAAAAACTAGATCTTTTTTTCTCCTAAGAATTCATTTTTCTCCATTCAAATAGTCTCCAAATAAGTATATGTTCCTTCCTGAGACTTACTCTTGTTCCTGTGTACCTGATCCTAAATCCTGGGTGCTTTGTCATCCAGAGTGTGAACCTATCGGGGAGCTTTTTCATTCAATATCTTCCCTATCTGGTGTATACTCTCCCTTCCATAAGTGACCATATCCAGTTTTCACTGTCCTAAAAAAAGTCTTTCTTACAAATTCCTCAGGTCTCTTCACCACCAAAATCTTTAAAAGACATCTGTAGTTTTTATTTTTCCTTCCTTACTTACTACTTATTTTTTTCCTTAAAGGAATGACTTTAATTAAGAGCATGCTATACTCTAGGCACTCTACCAAGAAATTTCACCAGCCTCATCACATCTCTTCAAGAATCATACAGTGGGGAACTGATTTTTACAGCTTAGGAAACTAAGACGATTCCTAAGTAATTTGGCCAAATTGATATCACTGGTGAACAACAGGACTGGAATCCCAGCTCAGATCTGTCACATCTTTTACGCTCTCATACTGCCTTACCCATACTTTCTGGCTTCCAGTGTAACAGACTAATTAAAATCCATTCTCAAAAGTTAATGTGACAACTGTTTATTCCAATGACCTTCATTCAGATATCATCACAAGAACTTATGTTTTGTGTTGCAAAATTTATTTCCTCAATGGTACCTACATCTTAGTCTATCCTTTCTCTGATGCCTTTTGTGTCTCCTAGTGGACTGTATCCCATACCCAAGTATAGGCATCTTCTAGATGTTAGTTCTCCATTCTTTCTTTTTCATTTTTTATAGAGGTGCACACTTTAATATGTATATCTTCAATGAGCTTGGACGTATACAAACACTCATGATAACATCATCACAACCAAGGTACTACGTATA